TGCACCCACCATTCCACTTGTTTGCCCACAGTTTTCCGGGACAACACCTTGAGTTCAGTCAGGCCAGCACGTGTAAGTTCCTGAGTCAAGGTACTAGCCGCCCAATCTCGCGGAACACCAGTGACGCGCCAAGCTCTGGCCTTAGGAGGAGGCTCGGTGCTCCTGGGCTTACGTACTCCCAGTCCATTCCATCCCCGGGCAATGCCCAGGTCACCAGCCATGGACTGAACCTTCTGCAAGTAGCTGGGCCCATCAAGTTCCGAACTTTTCTTGACCCACTCAACATCGCAAGATTCAACCACGGAGTTGTTCCATTGCAAAGGCTCCACAAACCAGGTACTTTTGCCTGAGCAGCCTAGAAGAGCTTTGGCAGCACTACGCTCAATGCGTAAAAGGCCAGTGATCACTGGCTTGCCTCCGCCTTTCATGCTTTCTTGCTGAAACGCCCACATATCAAAGACTTTGTCCGCAACATGCTCTGGAACATGCCGATGCAACCAAGCCTGCGCGTTTGCCTTTGGCTTGGCCTGGATGCTCTGCCACTCGTTGTTTTGCAAATATTTTGCATCGACACTTAATCTCACTACAACAGTTTCAGGCTGCACTGCAGGAGCCGCTGACACAACGGCAGCTCTCTTGAGTGATGGCCCTTGGCCTTGAAGTGGGATCACAAACGCCTGCCTGGGCTGCACCTTGCCCGAGATCTTTCCTGGCACCATCCGCAAAGGTCGATCCTCAGTCTGCTTGGCCTCTTTCGGCGCTAGCATCACAGCTGTGATGTTGAGCTCTCTTTTGATATCAGGGGAATCGCCTTTCAGCAAAACCTGCAACTCCTCAAGTTGCTCTTCCGAGTTCACTTGCACTGTAGCTGAAATATTTCCAGGCTTATCCAGTGCGACACAAAAGTCATCAAAGCCCAAAATGGGCCCCGTCCAGTCTGACTGACGCAGGCTCCACACCGGCTTAAACGCAGTGTTGGCTCGAACCACTTCGGCAAAGGTCTTGGGCGTTTTGTGGGGCTGCTGCTCTGTGTGTGGCTGTTTTTGGACGTCCGCCTTTTGCCTAGGATGTGGTTTCGAAGTATTCTGCGGAGGCTGAGTAGGAGGAGAAGAAGGGTAAGAACCACCCCCTTGGCCGTAATCCCCCAGACCACCATCACCGCCCTGTTTATTTTTGTTCTTGTTCTTAAGCTTCTTGGGTTTGGCACACCCGCCATGGCCCATCATAGCACTGAGCTGTTGAAGCAAATTCCCACCGCCACCCCCGAGTCCCAACAATTGGAAAAGCTGAGAGAGTAGTTTGAGAATCTCACCTGCTTGTTGCAAATTGAAGCCATTTGCTTGGTTATTGCTTTGTTTCTGTTTCCTTTTGCGAGCTGTTGCTCTGCTTCCTGCACCATTGCCATGCATGGCATGCATCAGTGCGTTCCGCTCTTTTGAAGACACAGCCCAAATCTTCTGAAGCAAATCGAAACTTGCAAGCACCACATCTGAACAATTCGTTTCTAAGCACTGCCAGGGCCCATCAGCAATGCATAGACCCGCAGCCACCGCGCGGAGGTTGTCCAGATAGCTGCTAGAAAGATAGTGCAGCTTTCACTCACTGGGTGCCAGAATTTTTCTGACCATGAGCTCGACGTGCTGATCGAAAGCCTTCCTGCAGAGTTGCGCGTTTTGCGATTAGATCTGGGATTCTCGGGTCTTGAGACTCTGGACATGTTCACATCGACGGTGCAGTGTTTGAAGTCTTTGGTCCAGTTGAATTTGCGCTTCACAGGTTCCTCGCACTTCAGGACTGCGGCAGGGCTTGGAGTTGCCCTGAGGGAGATGGAGAACCTCATGTACTTGGAGCTATGGTGCGCTGAGTTGTGAATTTCCAGTCACATTTTTCTTCATCTTGAACCAGCAAAAAATATGATTTTCAGCTTATTGTTTGCTGCGCTTTCAAAGCTTTCTTTTTGATTCCCTGGGCATGATATTGTTATTTTGATTTTTCTCAGCTGCTACGGTTCAGTGGCTGCAGGTTCATGAACTTGCCATGTTTGGAAGAATTCGGATGCTTCAGTTCTGCTTTGCAGTCTTCGCGAAACCTGGAGAGTATAGTTATTGATCTCAGCGGATGTGGCCAGGTATCGATTGATGCGAGGATGGAACTTCACCAATCCATCAAGTCACTGAAATGGTTGCGAGGCGGCTTGGACACTTGGGTCAACATTGAAGGTTTGCCAAAGCGAGAATGGTTTGCTCGATTTGCTCCTGTTGATTTTGGCAGTGTCATCAAAGGGCGTTGCACCCGGAGCTTCCGTTTCATCTGGCAACGCATGCGACAACTCAGTGCCCGCCAGCTGCCACATGTCAGCTCAGTGTACTTTGAGCCAACCAGGTTTGGCAGGTCCAGCGCCACAAGCAGTGACGAATCAGCTGGAGAAGATGCGGAGACAGAGATTCACAGCACTCAACAGGAGATGTTTGATGAAAACAAACCGTTCCCATGCAGCCATCCTTCATGTCATTCTTTTCACTGTTCTGAGAGCGGTTATTGTGAAAGGCACCACTGGTCGGGCCTTGGCAGAAGGATTTGTGTTGCGGGAAATGCTTGGCGCCAGAATGTGGAGCTTAGTGTGCTGATTCTCGCACAAGCAGTGGCAGAGGTAGAGAGCCGATTTTTGTTGGTTCTTCTGGTTCTCAGCCTGTTGCCCGTTGCAAGTTATAGCTTTTCTCAGTCAGCAGGGGTGTCTGGCACGTTGATTTTTCTGATTATTATCTCAATTGCAATTGTCAGCATTGTTTACACCACAGCTCGGCTCAACAGAATGAAAACACTGTCAAGGAGGCTTGAAGTTGAATCGGAAGCTTTGTATGCAAAGAATTTGCAGAATGATATGTCCAGGCTTTTTGGTGATTGGGGTAGAGACGATATTGCCCAGCCTCAAGTCACGAGCTTGACGGAACACTTCATCGAAGCCAGAAATCATCTTGATGACTTCGACAAGAATCTGTGCCTTCCACTGCGAGAGTTCTTGGAGGAGCAGCCTGGTTCCATATCTCGGCGAGATTTGCGGCCCGTACTGATGACAGTGCCAGTGGCACAAGATGCTGTTGTGCGAGAAGGTGAACCCAGTCGAATCCTAGATCTCTTGTATTGCGATGTAATCTTCGATGATTGGGAAAGAATGCTCAGTGCGTGGTGCTTTCTCAAAACCAGAGCAGAGCATGACGAGTTGAGAGAAATCAAGATCGTGCGTACTCGCGATTCTTTTGCTTCAGTCCAAGCTGGTGTCAGATGTGCCGAGATGGTGGTCAAGATCAACCACTATTTAGCCACGATCCGTTTCCGTGAAGCCTCCTTGACAAAGCTGGAAAATCAAGTGGATGATGTGCACCACTTGGCAGAACAGGTGGGACTTGTGGCGGGCAGTTTGCAGGTAGATCCTTTGCTTATGTCTGGGCGACCATCACAGCAATCACGATTGGTGGTCGTTGTTGTTGCTTTTCTTCGGATCAGCTCATTACTTGCAGCAGTGTACCTTGGGGGGCAGTACTTTGTGCGGTACAGCCCACCCTTCATCCGTTCAAACCTTCCACAATTGATCCGAGATGCTTTTGCTCTCAAGCAGACAAGTGAGTCCAGTGATGGGAGATTGCCGGAGGTTACCACTTCTGATTCTGGATGGTTGGAGGAGAGCCTTTCGCAGCTGTTGCCTTCCATGGTTTTCTCTTTGCCGTACCTGGCCTTGATCATTGTCCTCCTGAGCGACTTGCGCCGGTGTAGGTCAGCCAATATCAAGTTGAGACCGTTGAAACCCACCCAGCTGCTCTACGAGGAGTATTTTGGCATTGAAGGCAAGCTCTTCGGCTTCAAAGTTGCAATGCTGCAGTTATTCACAGTGATGCTGCAGGCCTTTGGAAAGCTCCAAATCATGGGTGGCCTTGTGTCATTTGCATTCCATTCAGCTCCGAAGCATTCAGATGCGTTTGAAGGATGTTTTTGGGCTTTTGTGGGATTCCTCTGTTTGAACAGCATCTATCCAACCATTTTGTTGGCCTTCCCCTCGGTGAAGTGGGTGCGCCGGGGTGCTGCGATGATGGATGCGGTTCTTGATATTGCTTACACCAGCACATACCTCATCATCACCTTGCTGGCCATCCACGAACTGCAGCTGGACCAAGCCATTTCAGGAAATTTCGGGGATGAGGCTTCGGTGAACTTCCAAGCAGAGTTGGACCCGGCATTTGCGTTCCCAGCCGACTTTTTTGGTTTCTTTGCTGTCTACTATTCACTTGCACATGTTTGCACTGTTTGCCGTGCCTTGGAGCGAAGCGATCGATCGACCTACTGGAAGAAGTTGCAAAGCTTACCGAACTCTGCTTCCCAGTCACTGTTGATCCCATCGAGATTTTCTTGCTCAAAGAGATATCGGATTTGTTGCAAAGCCTTGCATTTTTGCTGCATTGGTTTTGTTTTATGTTGTTTCTGCAATTTTCAATCCATCGTGGTTTCGCAACCTGTTGACACAATTTGTCATGTGAGTATCTCGAAGCCCCTCAACTTGCCAACATATTTGTACAGAGGAGGCGTCTTGTTGTTCTCAGCTTTACTGTACTTGCTGCACCCTTTTATGCGTCCTAAAGCATACCAATACAATCTGATACACCACTTCTTAAGGTGTTGCTCCCCAGCATCAACAGCCAAGGGGGTAAGGTTTTTCAGCAGGTTTCAGGCTTCCCAGGAGTTTCACAGGTCCAGGATTCCGAGGTTTCAGGGTTTCCAGGTTTCCAGGGTTCCATGGTAGCAAGGTGCTGTCGGGTGGCATAGTTCCAGGAGTCCCAGCAAAGGCATTCGCGAAGTAAAAAAACATGGATACCTATATGATACCAGTACCTATATATTTTCAATGTCAATCCCCTTGAAATTTGGTTTCTGGAATGGCCCCCTTTCATTCCATCGGGCTTTGATGGATGAACTCGAGTTCTTTGTTTCTCCTTGCAACCACTGCTCAGGTATTCGCCCTGTTTGCTTGTAACGATCATTGCTCTATTGCTTTCAACGCACTTCTACCCGATTCACAAGGATGACTTCGGATGCTTTCCGTGTCGCTGTCTGCAAAAAGAAGATGGCGCAAAGCACCTTGCAAGTTGCAGCCTTATAGGCATTCTTCGCCTCAAAGATGTGAGTTTGAGTGAGCAAAGCATCACAAGTATTGCCGAGGATGCCTTTACCTCCTTAACAAGCTTGCAACGGTTATCGCTCTCTGGCAATCGGTTGTCATTTTTACCTGAGAAGGTGTTCGCTCCTTTGGACAGCTTGCAATTGCTGGACTTGGGCCGCTTGGGTTTGCAACAGGTGGAGTCAGACACGTTTGCCGGCTTGTCAAGTTTGAGAATCTTGTCCCTCAGCCAAAATCATTTGAAGGTGCTGCCAGAAGACTTGCTGCGCCCCATGCCAGCCCTGGAGAAATTCTTGCTCGGGGGGAAAACTGATAAGGGCAAACGCATCGTTGATGGAAACGAGCTGAGCATACTTCCGCAAGACCTTTTGCAGCACAGCCCGCGGCTACAAGTTCTCGATCTGAGCGAAAACACGTTGAGCTCACTGCCACACAACGTCCTTGATAAACTTCCTTTGTTGGAGACCCTCGACCTTGGTTCAAACATTCTGACTGATTTGCCAGGCAAAATCTTTGATAAGACTCCTTTGCTGCAGACGCTCGACCTTGGTTTAAACAGGCTGACTGATTTGCCAGGCAAAATCTTTGATAAGACTCCTTTGTTGGAGACCCTCGACCTTGGTTCAAACAAGCTGACTGATTTGCCAGGCAAAATCTTTTCAGGGCTCAGCAAATTGCAGAAGCTGTACTTGAGCGAAAACGAGCTCAGTGAGCTACCTGCTGAAGTCTTTTCAGGGCTCATCAATTTGCAGGAGCTGTACTTGAGCGAAAACGAGCTCAGTGAGCTACCTGCTGAAGTCTTTGCAGGACTTAGCAACTTGCAAGAGCTCGACCTGAGGTCCAACAAACTCAGTGAGTTGCCTTCTGAAGTCTGGGCCAATCTGTTTGCAGGGCTCAGCAAACTGCAGGAGCTGGACCTGGAATGGAACAGACTCAGCGAGTTGCCTGCTGAAGTCTTCTCAGGTCTCAGCAAGTTGCAGAAGCTCAACCTGGTTTACAACTCGCTCAGTAAGTTGCCTGCCGAAGTGTGGGCCCATCTCTTCGCAGGTCTTAGCAACTTGCGGGAGCTCAATCTGAGGTCCAACAGTCTCGGCGAGTTGCCTTCTAAAGTCTGGTCCAAATCATTTGCAGGGCTCAGCCAGTTGCAGGTGCTTTACTTGGGCGGAAACGATCTCAGCAAGTTGCATGCTGAAGCCTTTTCCACGCTGGGAAACCTGCAAAAACTTGTCCTCGATAGGTGCAGGCTGAATGAGTTGCCTCTGGAAGTCTGGGCCAATCTCTTTGCAGGGCTCAACAAACTGCAGGAGCTGGACCTGAGTTACAACGAACTCAGTGAGTTGCCTGATGAAGTTTTTTCCGGGCTCATCAACTTGCAGGAGCTTGACCTGCATCACAACGATCTCAGTGAGTTGCATGCTGGAGTCTTCTCAGGTCTCAGCAGCTTGCAGAAACTCAACCTGGGGGAAAACTCGCTCACTCGGTTGCATGCGGGAGTCTTTTCAGGGCTCAGCCACTTGCAGGAGCTTGACTTGGGCGAAAACGATCTCAGTGAGTTGCATGCTGAAGTCTTCTCAGGGCTCAGCAACTTGCAGAAACTCAACCTGGGGGAAAACTCGCTCACTCGGTTGCATGCGGGAGTCTTTTCAGGGCTCAGCCACTTGCAGGAGCTTGACTTGGGCGAAAACGATCTCAGTGAGTTGCATGCTGAAGTCTTCTCAGGGCTCAGAAAGTTGCAAGATCTCAACCTGGGGACCAACAGGCTCAGTAAGTTGCCTGCTGAAGTGTGGCCCGATCTCTTCGCAGGTCTTAGCAACTTGCGGAAGCTGAACCTGAGGTCCAACAGGCTCGGCGAGTTGTCTTCTAAAGTCTGGTCCAAATCGTTTGCAGGGCTCAGCCACTTGCTGGAGCTTTACTTGGGCGGAAACGATCTCAGCAAGTTGCATGCTGAAGCCTTTTCCACGCTGGGCAACCTGCAGAAGCTTGTCCTGGATGAGAACAGGCTCAATGAGTTGCCTGTTGAGATCTGGGCCAATCTCTTCGCAGGTCTTAGCAACTTGCGGAAGCTGAACCTGAGGTCCAACAGGCTCGGCGAGTTGTCTTCTAAAGTCTGGTCCAAATCATTTGCAGGGCTCAGCCACTTGCTGGAGCTTTACTTGGGCGGAAACGATCTCAGCAAGTTGCATGCTGAAGCCTTTTCCACGCTGGGCAACCTGCAGAAGCTTGTCCTGGATGAGAACAGGCTCAATGAGTTGCCTGTTGAGATCTGGGCCAATCTGTTTGCAGGTCTTAGCAACTTGCGGAAGCTGAACCTGAGGTCCAACAGGCTCGGCGAGTTGTCTTCTAAAGTCTGGTCCAAATCATTTGCAGGGCTCAGCCACTTGCAGGAGCTTGACTTGGGCGGAAACGATCTCAGTAAGTTGCCTGCTGGAGTCTTTTCAGGACTCAGCAACTTGCAGATTCTCAACCTGGGGTACAACAAACTCAGTGAGTTGCCTGCTGAAGTCTGGGCCCATCTGTTTACGGGGCTCGACAACTTGAGGTTGCTCATGCTGGATAACAACAAACTCGGCGAGTTACCCGCTGAAGTCTGGGTCAATATGTTTTCAGGGCTCGGAAGCCTGCAAGAGCTTGTGCTGTACGGCAATGGTCTCAGCAATGGTCGGAAGCCGGCAATTTGTTCGGCTATAATCTGTATATAAAGTGTGTCAACTGAGATGGTCAACTGAGATGTCCGGCCATGCGGATGAAGGATTCCTTGTCTGTTTCGGCGAAAATGATGGGGTGCTCTGCCATCTGTCCGCTTGATAGGGTTGTGGGTAGGACTGGTTCCTGGGTATAGATCACACACAGTCAAGTGACGAGATTTCACATTTCACCCACTTCCAACAACCCCTTTGAATCATTTTGAATCTAGTTGCAATGCATTTCATATGGTTTGTTCTCGTGAAATTTATTGCATTCTATTCTTGTTTCGTGATTTTTGGGGGCGTTTTGAGAGTAGCACCTGCATTGGGCGACCAAGGTCCAAGGTGGCAGTGGCACCTGGCGCACAACTGGAGAGATGTTCGCACACCGAGGCATCGGAATGTCCAGTCGAAGTCATCACAGTTATGAAAGTTTTGAGTCGAAGTCTTCATGAAGCTTTCGGTTCTGGTGTGGTCTGTAAGTTTTCAACCTCCATTGTTGGGATGTCTTCCCCGGTATTTACAGCTTGCCTCTGCTTGGAAACTCGTTTTCAGTCTTTGTAGGGTTCAAGATTGGCCCTCTTGTGGTGAAAGACTTCCACCACCAAGGAAAAGACAGACTCTGAAGGGAGCAGAACAGAAGTTGTTTGTTTGAAAACGTTGAAAGAAGTTGCTGAGACAGGTGTAGCCACTGTGTCGACCACGTGAAGTGCTGAGCACTGCCATTCGGCACGCTGCGCCTTGGACCAGGCACCAATGGCTCCAAATGAGAACATCACGCCGAGAATTTTCGAGTTTCGACAAGTTGTGGGTGTATGACTCTGTATGACCATTTCTTTTAAGAACATGACAACATAACACCGTATAACACCATTTGAATCCAGAATCTGGTGGGGTCGATCCGCTGGGTCAAAATCCATGGCTTAGCTTGGAAAAAGGTGCTAGGACTTGACCCTGAAAGATCTCAAATGTTTCGGATTGTTTTGGTGCATTACTTGAGGGAAGCTTTGCAGATATAGTAACAATTGCCAGGGTTTCTAATGGAGGACGATGCAGCAAGGTTAGGGTTTATCCATGTACACGCTTACAACATCTTATCAATGCCAGAACTTGTATGGAAGTTCAGCACCTTCAAGTCGAGATGGTTTTCATTGTTTGGGATGTTTACGCCACTCAATGTGTGGACCGATGAAGGACAACCATGTGACTATTCCGCAAGCTGCTCCGTATTACCGGCTTTTCGCATGTGCACACACCATTACACAACTGTGGGGATTCCGATATTTAGACACCAGTTATCCTAAGGGCGCCTTATCCAAAAGTCTCCCGTTTGCTGGGACTATGTCCCCGAAATGGGCTTCGCACGGGGAAAGAGATGAGCCTGGCTTTATCCCAGCGCTGCAGGAAGTTCACGGCAGCTGCTCGAATGCCCAGCACTGCGCGACGAGTTTCGAGAGTCGTGGGGTGAGGACATGGCCAGGGATTTAGAATGATTTAGAGTTGATACCAACTGACATACTACTAGTAACACGAGTTTTCATAATGAAAAACAACGAGATTATGACCTTGATTATCATTGGTAGCAACATTTCTGGAACATCTGGAAGATTGCATACATTCCCATCATCTTTCAAGCACTATGCGGCCCATGGATTTTGGACGGGTCAACTGCATTGAGAGATGTTGAGGCCCCGGGTGCAGGTGGCAAGTACTTCCAACCCCAACATGTATCCTTCGGTTGTCCTGGTCATAAGAAATCCTGCTTTTACAGTTGACTTTCCTATTGAAACATTGGGTTTTCACGGCCAGGCTACGCTATTGGAGGATGTACATGTCAGAAGTTGGATGATAGATGATCATAATATGACTTAACACGGAATTTCTTTTGTTTTGTCTCTTTAGGATCTTGTAGAATCCTTTAGGGTTCAGGGGTGAAACGAACTCAATGCCCATCATTTTGCTGTCAGTCGAAGAGCTGCAGGACTTCTCGGCCTTGGTCCTAGACGAGCACGGAAACCAATCATGAAATATCTTTGATGACAGATGTTCCATCGTCTAGCATATATCTATACAGATATATATATATAATAATATTGCATATAATACATTTGAACATCCAGTGTTGCTATTTGGACATAGCTTGCTTTCGAAGGAGTTCTGCAAAGTGGTTGTGGTTCTTTTCCTTGACCGTGTGGGCCGTGTTTACTGCGTTGGTTCTTTTGGAGGTGCTGCCCAATTTGTGTCTCCGTAGCTTCCTTTCAAGACGGACCTGCACTGCAGCTGCATTCTGCGGTGCCACTTACCTTGACATGAAACCCTGGCCAGCCTGATCAACAGCCAAATCTCATGTTGCGCAGCAAGTCTTTGATAAACCATCGATATTAAACCTGTGTATTGTTCCAGACTGCACTGAATTCGTGCCGCTGGACAGCGCAAAGGATTCGCTGCCTCATGTCGGTCTCTGTGGATATTCCTGGACATGGTCACTTTGATATCAAACTGACTGCTTCGAGCACCGCTGCTGACATTATTTTACTGCTACGTGAGCGTTTGCCAGACAGCCCATGGCATGGGAACAAGTTGCTGTCAAGTGGGGTCTGCCAGCTACAGTGCGATGACATTGTGGAGGCAACCCGCCACAGCACTTTAGTCTTGACAAACTACTCAGAGATCACCAGCCAGGAGAGAAACCTGCAGCTTTGTTTCTTTTTCAATAGGTAATGCAGACCATATGCCAAGTAGCAAATCACGATTAGAAACTAAATGCCAACAAGTACCAATTGCAACAAGTGCAGCAATGTGATGGACCCATTCATTTTTTTTTTTGGGATTCAGTGGTTTAAACGCATTTCGAACGTGGCTTGTGAGATCTACTTGATAGTGGGGGAACAGTCGGCCACTGAACAGGCGCCTTTGTGCATTGAGAACATGTGAAGCAAACGCTCTGTTGTCGATAGAATAAAGAGAAACTTCAGCGGCATATCCTTTAGACCATGTGAAACAGAGGCAATATAACCAATAGGATCAAATAGAACAAAGAGAAACCGTATTTAAAAGTCAATCGTTTGAAATTCAGAGATTGCAGGCCCATGATTCCCATGATTGCACCTTTTGAGGGTACTGCATAATGCTTTTTGAATTCCATTCCAATTTCATTTGCTGCAATTGTCGGTGGACCCGTCGAAGGAGGCTTTCTGCATCGAAGATAATGTTGAGTCCTGATTAGTACCTAGGGTCGCTATTGTGGCAAATTTTTTCCAAATTATTCTGAAACTCATGTATTGTTTGGAGGGTTCGCTTTTGTGGCAAAACAAAATTGGGAGAGCCCTTTTTTTTGCAAAAAAAACTGTAATTGCTGAGAGGCATTTTTTCCTCAAAAACGCTGTAGCTCAGTCAATTTTTTGCTCATCTCCCTATCTGAGCCTGTAAATGCATCTCTATCTGAGTAGGTTTGTTTGCTGGGTTCACTATTGCAGCAAGCTGTGCCAGAGCAGCCCCTGAAGAAGGGAAGCAAGCCATTTCCAAAATTGCCAAATTCAAACTCCAAGCCTTTCCCAAAAGAACCAATCCCTTATTAAACCCTTATTAAAGAACAGCTTTTCCACAATTTTCCAAGGCCCTGGACCAGGAGAGGCTCCATTTCACTTTAGTAGGTTTGTTTGCTGGGTTCACTATTGCAGCAAGCTGTGCCAGAGCAGCCCCTGGAAGCCCAGAAGGGAAGCACGCCTTTTCCAAAATTGCCAAATTCAAACTCCAAGCCTTTCCCAAAAGAACCAATCCCTTATTAAACCCTTATTAAAGAACAGCTTTCCCACAATTTTCCAAGGCCCTGGACCAGTAGAGGCACCATTTCACTTTAGTAGGTTTGTTTGCTGGGTTCACTATTGCAGCAAGCTGTGCCAGAGCAGCCCCTGGAAGCCCAGAAGGGAAGCAAGCCTTTTCCAAAATTGCCAAATTCAAACTCCAAGCCTTTCCCAAAGGAGCCAATCCCTTATTAAACCCTTATTAAAGAACATCTTTTCCACAATTTTCCAAGGCCCTGGACCAGGAGAGGCTCCATTTCACTTTAGTAGGTTTGTTTGCTGGGTTCACTATTGCAGCAAGCTGTGCCAGAGCAGCCCCTGAAAGCCCAGAAGGGAAGCAAGCCTTTTCCAAAATTGCCAAATTCAAACTCCAAGCCTTTCCCAAAGGAGCCAATCCCCTTATTAAACCATTATTCAAGAACAGCTTTTCCACAATTTTCCAAGGCCCTGGACCAGGAGAGGCTCCATTTCACTTTAGTAGGTTTGTTTGCTGGGTTCACTATTGCAGCAAGCTGAGAGCAGCTCCTGGAAGCCCAGAAGAGAAGCAAGCCTTTTCCAAAGGCAATTGCCAAATTCAAACTGCAAGCCTTTCCCAAAAGAACCAATCCCTTATTAAACCCTTATTAAAGAACAGCTTTCCCACAATTTTCCAAGGCCCTGGACCAGTAGAGGCCCCATGTCACTTTAGTAGGTTTGTTTTCTAGGTTCACTATTGCAGCAAGCTGTGCCAGAGCAGCCCCTGAAGAAGGGAAGCAAGCCATTTCCAAAATTGCCAAATTCAAACTGCAAGCCTTTCCCAAAAGAACCAATCCCTTATTAAACCCTTATTAAAGAACAGCTTTCCCACAATTTTCCAAGGCCCTGGACCAGTAGAGGCCCAATTTCACTTTAGTAGGTTTGTTTGCTGGGTTCACTATTGCAGCAAGCTGTGCCAGAGCAGCCCCTGAAGAAGGGAAGCAAGCCATTTCCAAAATTGCCAAATTCAAACTGCAAGCCTTTCCCAAAAGAACCAATCCCTTATTAAACCCTTATTCAAACTACAAGTACTACAAGTACTAAGTACAAGTACTACAAGTACTACATGTACTACAAGTACTACAAGTACTACAAGTACTACAAGTACTACAAGTACTACATGTACTACAAGTACTACAAGTACTACAAGTACTACAAGTACTACAAGTACTACAAGTACTACAAGTACTACAAGTCCTACAAGTACTACAAGTCCTACAAGTACTACAAGTACTACAAGTACTACAAGTACTACAAGTACTACAAGTACTACATGTACTACAAGTCCTACAAGTACTACAAGTACTACAAGTACTACAAGTACTACAAATACTACATGTACTACAAGTACTACAAGTACTAGAAGTACTACAAGTACTACAAATACCACAACTTCATCGGCAAAAAAAACAATAGTAATTAGATTTCAATTGTAGCCAATTGAAATCCTTACTTAATTGAGGATATGTTTTGAGGATATGTTTTTCTTTTGGGAAGAAAATTTTTGACTTTCTACTTTAAAGAGAGTCCAGAAATAGTTTAGGGGAGGGGGGGGGGGGCCACACACTAATAATATGACTTAACACAGAATTTCTTTTGTTTTGTCTCTTTAGGATCTTGTAGAATCCTTTAGGGTTCAGGGGTGAAACGAACTCAATGCCCATCATTTTGCTGTCAGTCGAAGAGCTGCAGGACTTCTCGGCCTTGGTCCTAGACGAGCGCGGAAACCAAGCATGAAATATTCTTGATGACGGATGTTCCATCGTCTAGCATATATCTATAGATATATAATAATAATATTGTATATAGTACATTTGAACATCCAGTGTTGCTATTTGGACATAGCTTGCTTTCGAAGGAGTTCTGCAAAGTGGTTGTGGTTCTTTTCCTTGACCGTGTGGGCCGTGTTTACTGCGTTGGTTCTTTTGGAGGTGCTGCCCAATTTGTGTCTCCGTAGCTTCCTTTCAAGACGGACCTGCACTGCAGCTGCATTCTGCGGTGCCACTTACCTTGACATGAAACCCTGGCCAGCCTGATCAACAGCCAAATCTCATGTTGCGCAGCAAGTCTTTGACATTGATAAACCATCGATATTAAACCTGTGTATTGTTCCAGACTGCACTGAATTCGTGCCGCTGGACAGCGCAAAGGACTCGCTGCCTCATGTCGGTTTCTGTGGATATTCCTGGACATGGTCACTTTGATATCAAACTGACTGCTTCGAGCACCGCTGCTGACATTATTTTACTGCTACGTGAGCGTTTGCCAGACAGCCCATGGCATGGGAACAAGTTGCTGTCAAGTGGGGTCTGCCAGCTACAGTGCGATGACATTGTGGAGGCAACCCGCCACAGCACTTTAGTCTTGACAAACTACTCAGAGATCACCAACCAGGAGAGAAACCTGCAGCTTTGTTTCTTTTTTCAATAGGTAATGCAGACCATGCCAGGTCCTCCGCAGCCAGTAGCAAATCACGATTAGAAACTAAATGCCAACAAGTACCAATTGCGACAAGTGCAGCAGTGTGATGGACCGATTCATTTTTTTGTTTTGGGATTCAGTGGTTTAAACGCATTTCGAACGTGGCTTGTGAGATCTACTTGATAGTGGGGGAACAGTCGGCCACTGAACAGGCGCCTTTGTGCATTGAGAACATGTGAAGCAAAGGCTCTATTGTCGATAGAATAAAGAGAAACTTCAGCGGCATATCCTTGAGACCATGTGAAAGAAAGGCAATATAACCAATAGGATCAAATCGAATAAAGAGAAACCGTATTTAAAAGTCAATCGTTTGAAATTCAGAGATTGCAGGCCCATGATTCCCATGATTGCACCTTTTGAGGGTACTGCATAATGCTTTTTGAATTCCATTCCAATTTCATTTGCTGCAATTGTTGGTGGACCCGTCGAAGGAGGCTTTCTGCATCGAAGATACTGCAGAGCGAGGGATCACGCGCGAGCAATTGGCGAAGATCGTTGTTTTCATCTCCAAGATGGCTGACAGATGGTGCGAGACTTTCGGAGAACAGCGTGGGACAAGGCTGCAGTTTGAGACCTTCAACCTGTATGATGCGAATCACTGGATCATCAAACCAGCCACCGAAGCCTGGATTTGTTGATGATGTGACAACATTTTCCAATTTGAAGAATCTACCGTTTTTCTTTTTTAATTGGCAACATTATGTAGAATCCCAGGACGGCTATGCGAAAAAGGGCTGCAGCATGGTTGAGATCATGGCGATTCAAGTGCAGAGACCTCACTGGTTTGTGTCACATGCTTGGATCGAGCCTTGGATAGGCAAACTCTCAAGGTTGTTTGAGACCGTGCTATTGCATTGTCTGTCAGCAACAAGTTTCTTTTTCCATCCGGGATCAAATAACAGCTACATAAAGGGGAGGACTTGGGCTACAGTACAGATTGCCAGCCAGGGGTCGTTTTGTACAAAAAAAATGGAGTTGGGCCAACCTTTTTGTATTTGCATTATTTTGCATTCATTTTGTGGTTGTTTCCTTTCAAATCCTCATTTTTATTTTGTAGTTGTAGTTGTATATGTTGAGTTAGTTGAAGCATCCAACACAAAATATCATTTGCATTTTGTAGTTGTACAAGTTGAATAGGTGAAGCATCCAACATGAAATCTCATGTGCATTTTGTATATATTATGTTGAGGAAGTTGAAACATCAATAAAATATGTACGATTTAGTTCGACGTCACGACGTCACCCCCAAAATGTTTAATTACTGAAATTATGTTGGTCGGAACTTTGGATGGCATAGGCCCAACTACAAAATGTTATTGGGAAAATTCATGTTGGCATTTCCGATTCTCAGCTATTTTTCAACTTCAGATGCATGGGTTTTTGTATAATGCATATTTTGAATTATTTTCCGAGTCAAATTAAGTTGTGTTCTGTATTTTGTAGCTGCAAAAAGGTACCATGAACCATGCATCGAATTTGGTAGTTGCGCACCCTATGCTTTGTGTCTTGTACCTATCAAAGTCCTCTGCACAACTCCTCCCCCCTTATCTGAACCCTGATCTTTTTCCGCTAATAATTCACATTCCCCTAGAAGCCTTGGTTGAGTTTTGGACTTGTTTTTTTTCGGATCCTCAATAGGATGCTGTATCAAAAAGAAATGAACATCGAGCGTAATGATAGATGAAAGTCAATCTATTGCTTTGAAGCACGTCCAATTTTGTGTTGGCAGATCTGTTAGGAGCCTGTTTGTAAGTTTCTGGCCTGCTTGGAGCAGCATGCTCTGGTGCGAGAACTCTCAAGCAGTACATTCTATTGGGTCTGTGCATATGCCAATAACCAGCACTGCGTGGAAGAGGATATCAAAAGCAATCCACGCAGCACTTCATTCTACAGAGCTATGCAGATGTCTGAGGGAGTTCTTTTGGTGCTGGATTCAGCTGGAACGCCTTTCGAAGCGCAGCCATGGGATGGTGAGTTCAGGAGCGCTACTGAACGTCGTTTGCTGGTTCCACTTGTGGATGCTCCTCCTGTGTTGCCTTTTTCCAACATGGTTGCAGATCCTGCTTTGGTTACTTTTATTCAGCAATTCGATCCTCTTCAGCGACCCACCTTGGGTTTGGGCGGCAGTTGTATCATAGCTACTTCCTGTGATCGATGGCAAAGAGCTAGCTGGGCGGTTTCGACACTTTCAGGCACCACTGTTCAAGGTGCCGTGACTGGTTTTGAGCAAACACCTGCTGCAGGTGAGCGTGCTGCTCTTCTGCAAGCTTGTTTAGCCTCTTCTGCAGCTAACAGACCGGTGATGCTCTTGATTGACAATCAGGCTTTGGTGCGGCGGCTTCAGCGAGGCATTAGCACTGGCCGTTGGGAGGGTGACTTGCCGCTTTTCTGGCAGCGGATCAGCGGCTTATTGATTCAGGGCACTGTTTGCACTTGGATCCCTTCTCACAACAAGGTGCCTGACTGGACACCCCCAGATGGTTGGATTGATGTTCATCTCTGCCGCGTTCTCAATGCGACAGCCGATGCTCAGGCAGGTGAGGTGTTGCGTGACTCACGCTCCATGATCGCTGCGGCTGTGCAGCGACATCAGCGAGCCGTGGCTTGGGCTGCAGCAGTTTGGCGTCTGCAGAGGCTACGGACTTTACCTTTTTGGCAAGTCGTACTTGATCAACAAACATTCCTTGCGGAATGCTAGCTGGCGCACTGTGTTTACTTCTTTTTTCAGGCAGGTTTCGCTTCTTTTGTGTTTTGCTTGGAGAAGTATGGGAACTTGATTCTCGCAGATGGCATACTATGGCGTCTTAACTACTTCACTTCGGTGAGGAGCAGGTTGACGTCCGCTTACAACAACAACAACAACAGGAACGCCTTTCGAAAGGATTTGGTGCTGCTTCGAGGAAGCCATTGCCCCAGCCTTAGAAATTCCTAGAAGTACGAGAAAGCATCATGAAACGAGAAAAATGTGACATGAACGGTCATGAACGTGAGTTTTTTTCGTTTGTGAATTCTGCCTGAAGGGACACGTTTTGATTTGTCCAGCTAGCAGCTAGCTTGTTTCAGTGCAAAATGCGAAACACAACCAAACAGCATGATGTGAATGGGGGATAACGAGCAGGAGCAACACCAGGTCATGTTCGTAAAGGCAGGCAATGCTTCAGTAGATAGTGGATCAAAGGAGACACTGGTGTAAACAATTCCGGTATTTTCACCCTAAAAGCGACCAAGGCGATCGAACATCGAGAGGGCAACTGGTCCAGACGACGTTTACTGCTTGATGTGGGAGCCACTGACGCATATGACAAAGCTACTCGACGCAGAAGTGGTGGCCTTGTGTGGACATTTCCTTTGGGTAGTCTGCTCGAAAGGTTGAGACCATCGCCTTTACCGTAACCCCCATTTCTGCACCATGGTGAACCTTGTCACATCACCTTACTGTAAGCATCCCTTTCCATATATCTTTACAAAGAGGTGATAAGTGAAAAGTGATGTTTTGACCGTTCCAAATTTGTTGATCTCTGAGGCTCATGTGCTTACTGATGGACTTGCTGGAGCAGAAAGTCGAATGATCGGCATCATCGGGTTGCACCACAAAGCAGCTCGTGAGCGTCACTTTCCTCTGGACCTTTTGGAAAAGGGCTTGAAGGTCAAAATCGAAGAAACTTGGTGCAGGATTGCAAGACACTTTTGCTGTTTTGATGTTGTGTGGAGAAGCGAATTTATGTATTTGGACAATCCATTGAATACCCATGGTTCATTGTTTTCATGTCACAGTATGATATTTTATTCCAAGTTTCCTCTTTTTCCACAAAGTGAGCTGCAGATTAGAAATGTGAATGTTCAACCGCTCAAGGAAGCTCATGCCACGCAGAACATCGACAAAGTGCGAATTCTGAACAGCATTGCCTTTTCTCGTCTTGGAACTTGCGACTTTGAGCTTTTGCAGTCGTATCCCACGGGGGATCCCAATTTCCAGCGAGTAGATGAAGCTCTTGCTTCGCACTTCGCTTTATGCAGCTGGTACGGATTTGTCCTTCAAGGAAGATGCACTGAACTCCTGGCCACAGCTGTAAAGGCAGACGTTGGTAGAAAGATAGTGCAGCTTTCACTGACTGGATGCCGGATTTTCTCTGACCATGAGCTCAATGTGCTGATCCAAAGCCTTCCTGCAGAGTTGCGCGTTTTGCGATTAGATCTGGGATTCTCGGGTCTTGAGACTCTGGACATGTTTACATCGACGGTGCAGTGTTTGAAATCTTTGGTCCAGTTGAATTTGCGCTTCACAGGTTCCGCACACTTCAGGACTGCGGCAGGGCTTGGGGTTGCCCTGAGAGAGATGGAGAACCTCATGTACTTGGAGCTATGGTGCGCTGAGTTGTGAATTTCCAGTCACATTTTTCTTCATCTTGAACCAGCAAAAAATATGATTTTCAGCTTATTGTTTGCTGCGTTTTCTTTTTGATTCCATGGATATGATATTGTTATTTTGATTTTTCTCAGCTGCCACGGTCCAGTGGCTGCAGGTTCATGAACTTGCCATGTTTGGAAGAATTCGGATGCTTCAGTTCTGCTTTGCAGTCTTCGCGAAACCTGGAGAGTATAGTTATTGATCTCAGTGGATGTGGCCAGGTGTCGATTGATGCGAGGATGGAACTTCACCAATCCATCAAGTCACTGAAATGGTTACAAGGCAGCTTGGACACGTGGGTGAATATTGAAGGTTTGCCAAAGCGAGAATGCTTCGCTCCATTTGCTCATGTTGATTTTGGCGGTGTCATCAAAGGGCGTTGCACCCGGAGCTTCCGTTTCATCTGGCAACGGATGCGACAACTCAGCGCCCGCCAGCTGCCACACGTCAGCTCAGTGTACTTTGAGCCAACCAGGTTTGGCAGGTCCAGCGCCACAAGCAGTGACGAATCAGCTGGAGAAGATGCGGAGACAGAGACTTACAGCACTCAACAGGAGATGTTTGATGAAAACAAACCGTTCCCATGCAGCCATCCTTCATGTCATTCTTTTCACTCTTCTGAGAGCGGTTATTGTGAAAGGCACCACTGGGTGGGCCTTGGCAGAAGGATTTGTGTTGCGGGAAATGCTTGGCGCCAGAATGTGGAGCTTAGTGTGCTGATTCTTGCACAAGCAGTGGCAGAGGTAGAGAGCCGATTTTTGTTGGTTCTTCTGGTTCTCGGCCTGTTGCCCGTTGCAAGTTATAGCTTTTCTCAGTCAACAGGAGTGTCTGGCACGTTGATTTTTATGATTGTTATCTCAATAGCAATTGTCAGCATTGTTTACACCACAGCTCGGCTCAACAGAATGCACACACTGTCAAGGAAGCTTGAAGTTGAATCGGAAGCTTTGTATGCAAAGAATTTGCAGAATGACATGTCCAGGCTTTTTGGTGATTCCGGTAGAGACGATATTGCCCAGCCTCAAGTCACAAGCTTGACGGAACATTTCGTCGAAGCCAGAAAGCATCTTGATGACTTCGACAAGAATCTGTGCCTTCCACTGCGAGAGTTCTTGGAGGAGCAGCCTGGTTCCATATCTCGGCAAGATTTGCGGCCCGTACTGATGACAGTGCCAATGGCACAAGATGCTGTCATGCGAGAAGGTGGATGGGACAAAATCTTAGATCTCTTGTATTGCGATGTAATCTTCGATGATTGGGAAAGAATGCTCAGTGCGTGGTGCTTTCTCAAAACCAGAGCAGAGCATGATGAGTTGAGAGAAATCAAGATCGTGCGTACTCGCGATTCTTTTGCTTCAGTCCAAGCTGGTGTCAGATGTGCCGAGATGGTGGTCAAGATCGGCCACTATTTAGCAACGATCCGTTTCCGTGAAGCCTCTTTGACAAAGCTGGAGAATCAAGTGGATGATGTGCACCACTTGGCAGGACAGGTGGGACTTGTGGCGGGCAGTCTGCAGGTAGATCCTTTGCTTATGTCTGGGCGACCAGCACAGCAATCACGATTGGTGGTCGGTGTTGTTGCTTTGCTTCGGATCAGCTCATTACTTGCAGCAACGTACCTTGGGGGGCAATACTTTGTGCGGTACAGTCCACCTTTCATCCGTTCCAAGCTTCCACAATTGATCCGAGATGCATTTGCTCTCAAGCAGACAGTTGAGCCCAGTGATGGGAGATTGTCGGAGGTTACCACTTCTGATTCTGGAGGATGGTTGGAGGAGAGCCTTTCGCAGCTGTTGCCTTCCATGGTTTTCTCTTTGCCATACCTGGCCTTGATCATCGTCCTCTTGAGCGACTTGCGCCGGTGTCGGTCAGCCAATATCAGGTCGAGACCGTTGAAGCCCACCCAGCTGCTCTATGAGGAGTATTTTGGCATTGAAGGCAAGCTCTACGGCTTCAAGGTTGCAATGCTGCAGTTATTCACAGTGATGCTACAGGCCTTTGGAAAGCTTTAAATCATGGGTGGCCTTGTGTCCTTTGCATTCCATTCAGCTCCGAAGCATTCAGGTGCATTCGAAAGATGCTTTTGGACTTTTATGGGTTTCCTGTGTTTGAACAGTATCTATCCATCGATTTTGTTGGCCTTCCCTTCTGTGAAGCGGGTGCGGCGTGGTGCTGCCATGATGGATGCAGTTCTTGATATTGCTTACACCAGCACATACCTCATCATCACGTTGCTGGCCATCCACGAACTACAGCTGGGCCAAGCCCTTTCAGGAAATTTCGGGGATGAGGCTTCTGTGAACTTCCAAGCAGAGTTGGACCCGGCATTTGCATTCCCAGCCGACTTTTTTGGTTTCTTTGCTGTCTACTATTCACTTGCACATGTTTGCACTGTTTGCCGTGCCTTGGAGCGAAGCGATCGATCGACCTACTGGAAGAAGTTGCAAAGCTTACCGAACTCTGCTTCCCAGTCACTGCTGGGCCCATCTAGATTTTCTTGCTCAAAGAGATATCGGATTTGTTGCAAAGCCTTGCATTTTTGCTGCATTGGTTTCGTTATGTTTCGTTTTATGTTGTCTCTGCAATTTTCAATCCATCGTGGTTTCGCAACCTGTTGGACCTGTTGACACAATTTGTCATGTGAGTATCTCGAAGCCCCTCAACATATTTGTACAGAGGAGGCGTCTTGGTGTTCTCAGCTTTACTGTACTTGCTCCATCCTTTTGTTCGTCCTCAAGCATACTAATACACAATCTGATACACCACTTCTTAAGGTGTTGTTCCCCAGCAGCATCAACAGCCAAGGGGGTTCCAGGGCTTTTGAAAGGTTTTTCAGCGCGTTTCAGGGTTCTCACTTAGTTTCACAGGTTCAGGATTCCGAGGTGCATTCCAAGTATTTCAGGGTTTCCAGGGTTGCAGGATTCCACAGTTGCAAGGTGCCGTCGGATGGCATAGTTGCAGGAGTCCCAGCAAAGGCACTCGCGAAGTAAACAAAATTGGATACCTATGATACCCATGTCTTCAATATCAATCCCTCTGAGATTAGGTTTCTGTTTCATCATGGCGTGAGTTTGTGTGCCGGAATGCCCCCCCCTTTCATACCATCGGGCTTTGATGGATGAACTCGAGTTCTTGGTTTCTGCTTGCAACCATTGCTCAGGTATTCGCCCTGTTTGCTGGTCACGATCATTGCTCTGCTGCTTTCGTCACACTTCTACCCGATTCACACGGCTGATTTCGGATGCTTTCCGTGTCGCTGTCAGGAAAAGGACTATGGTGCAAAGCACCTCGCGAACTGCCACCTTGTAGGCATTCTTCGCCTCAAAGATGTGAGCTTGAGTGGGCAGGACATCACAAGTGTTGCAGAGGATGCCTTCACCTCTTCATGGGGCTTGCAACGGTTGTCGCTCTCTGGCAATCGGTTGTCTGTTTTGCAACAAAATGTATTCTCCCCGTTGGAGAGCCTGCAACTCTTGGACCTGGGCCGCTTGGGTTTGCAACAGGTGGAGTCAGACACGTTTGCCGGCTTGTCAAACTTGAAAATCTTGTCACTGAGCCAAAACCAATTGAAGGTGTTGCCAGAAGACTTGCTGTGCCCGATGCCAGCCTTGGAGAAATTCTTGCTGGGGGGGAACACTGATGAGACGGGCTATCACTTCCTTGATGGAAACCAGCTGACCCTACTTCCGCAAGAGCTTTTGCAGCACACCCCGCGGCTACAAGTTCTCGATCTGAGCGAAAACAAGTTGAGCTCACTGCCAAATGGCATCTTTGATAAGACTCCTTTGTTGCGGACCCTCGACCTTGGTTCAAACAAGCTGGCTGATTTGCCAGGCGAAATCTTTTCAGGACTCAGCAAACTGCAGGAGCTCGTCCTGCGTTCGAACGAACTCAGCGAGTTGCCTGTTGAAGTCTGGGCCAATCTGTTTTCAGGGCTCAGAAATTTGCAAGATCTCGACCTGGGGTACAACAAACTCGGCCAGTTGCCTTCTGCAGTTTGGTCCAAATCGTTTGCAGGGCTCAGCAACTTGCAGATTCTCAACCTGAGGTCCAACAAACTCAGTGAGTTGCCTGCTGAAGTCTTTGCAGGACTCAGCAACTTGCAGATTCTCAACCTGAGGTCCAACAAACTCAGTGAGTTGCCTTCTGAAGTCTGGGCCAATCTGTTTTCAGGGCTCAGAAATTTGCAAGATCTCGACCTGGGGTACAACAAACTCGGCCAGTTGCCTGCTGAAGTCTTTGCAGGACTCAGCAACTTGCAGGATCTCAACCTGAGGTCCAACAAGCTCAGTGAGTTGCCTGCCGAAGTGTGGGCCCATCTCTTCGCAGGTCTTAGCAACTTACGGACGCTGAACCTGTGGGACAACAAACTCGGCGAGTCGCCTTCTGAAGTCTGGTCCAAATCGTTTGCAGAGCTCAGCCACTTGCAGGAGCTTTGGTTGGGCAGAAACGATCTCAGTGAGTTGCATGCTGGAGTCTTCTCAGGTCTCAGCAGCTTGCAGAAGCTCATCCTGGGGTACAACTCGCTCACTCGGTTGCATGCTGGAGTCTTTTCAGGACTCAGTAACTTGCAGGAGCTTTACCTGCGGTCGAACTTGCTCAGTGAATTGCCTGCTGAAGTCTGGGCCAATCTCTTTGCAGGGCTCAGCAACTTGCAAGAGCTCAACCTGAGGTCCAACAAACTCGGCGAGTTGCCTTCTGAAGTCTGGTCCAACTTATTTGCAGAGCTCAGCCACTTGCAGGAGCTTGACTTGGGCAGAAACGATCTCAGCAAGTTGCATGCTGAAGCCTTTTCCACGCTGGGCAACCTGCGAAAACTTGACCTCGATGGGTGCAGGCTGAATGAGTTACCTGTCGAAGTCTGGGATCATCTGTTTGCAGGGCTCGGCCACTTGCAGGAGCTCGACCTGAGTTACAACAAACTCGGCGAGTTGCCTTCTGAAGTCTGGTCCAACTTATTTGCAGAGCTCAGCCACTTGCAGGAGCTTGACTTGGGCAGAAACGATCTCAGCAAGTTGCATGCTGAAGCCTTTTCCACGCTGGGCAACCTGCGAAAACTTGACCTCGATAGGTGCAGGCTGAATGAGTTACCTGTCGAAGTCTGGGATCATCTGTTTGCAGGGCTCGGCCACTTGCAGGAGCTCGACCTGAGTTACAACAAACTCGGCGAGTTACCCGCTCAAGGCTGGGTCAATATGTTTTCAGGGCTCGGAAGCCTGCAAGAGCTTTGGCTAAACGGCAATGATCTCAGTGAGTTGCATGACGAAGTATGGACCAATATGCTGTCAGAACTCGACCAGTTGCAGAAGCTTGTGCTTTTCGGTAACGGTCTTAACGAGTTGCCGGCAATTTGTTCAGCTATAAAGTGCTTAGGCCACTGATGGCGCGAAAATGATGGAGCGCCTTGCCTGGGATCGGCTTGTGGTCGGGGTCTACCCACCACGTATAGGTGCAAGGGTTTGTTGAGGTCATGAGGCTAAGGATCGTCTCTACATATAGATGACACACCCATTCAAGATCATTTAAGTAATAAGATTCCACACTTCACCCCGTTTCAACCCCCAATGTAGATTCAGAACCTCCCATATGTTTCGTATGTTTCGTATATGTTGCATATTGTTTGATGATTTTAGATGCTTTTTTCCGAGGCGTAAACTGGAGCGTTAGGTCACCGAGGTCCAAGGTGCTTTTTTGATGCCTGCTGAGGGGCGGGTTGTAATCCATTAATGGCTGGGATGATGTCTGGGATGTCTGGGATTTTCTGGGATTTTCTGGGTTCCAACTTGCCTCTACTTTGAAAATCTTTGAAAATCTTTGAAACTCATTTGATCTCATTATTCTTTGGGGTTCAAGATGGCGCTGCGATACTGGAAGGCTTCCACCACGAGAACAACAGAGTCTCGAGCAAAAAGGGAAGAAACGCTGGAGCCCCCATGTGACCAAACAGAAATCCGAGCATGAAAGGCGGGCCTGGCTGACCATGTCAATTCTTGCTGGTTCCCCTTCAACTTGAACTGCATGATTTTTAGGAATCCTTGGTGTCCAGTGTACACCTGTGTTTCAGTCAGTTCTCTGTTGTGCTTACGGCTTACGCCCCCGGTCAGGCAGCGCTACGAGTAGCGGAGTGCGCGCTTTTGACGGAGGGCGCCCCAGGCGCCATCAAAGTCGTGGAAAAAGGGTTGGGTTTCCGCAATTTTCGATGAGTTTTTCGTAGTTTCCAGTTTTTCGCATGGGAAAGAAATGCTACTTGGATCAACTTCGATCCAGAAGTGACTATAGTCTATAGTATAGTTGTTTGTTCGTGGTTTGAGTGACTTAGATTCATGGGAGCAGTTTAGGCTTAGCTGAAACGGCCTACTAGGGCCCAAGGCGGCGACAAAATCAAGCGACTCAGTTAAGCTATTTGATTTGCCTGAATGAGTGGCATGACTGGTGGTGACCACAACATCATCAGCCGAATCATCAGCATGCCATTTTATCAGAATACTTCGCGCCACAGCTGTTGGTCTGTCTTCGTTTTTACATGAAATGTGATCACATGTGATCCACGACGGGGTCCATCAACCGGGAAGTGCATGAAAATCTGTGCAGTGATCCACCCAATCACCATGTCACCAACAATACAGCGAGGCAGCGAGACGAGCTGAGATGGTCCGATATGGTCCGGCTGAAAACCACACAGCTCTTAAGGCGTCACTGAAGGAAAACTTGACAGATACAGATATTTGCCCATTCCTTCTGTGTCTACTGTCGGCAAGTTTGAGTTCATGATGATACAGTGCAAGCTGTCACTCATGTTAGCCACAGCTTGTGATGTTCAACACCTTCAAGTTGAGAAACCGACCCCACTGAGCCAGTTTTCTGACCCAAAATCGTCCTTGAAAGCGAACTCATGACCTGGGCGCCAACTCGAATTTTGTCCTGTTTTTTCTCGTCTTTTTGGGTGATGTTCATCCGCAGTCGGCTCACTGCCAGGCGACTCGTGGAGCTGTTGAATTGGATAGCGAGGCGAGTGGAGCGGGAGAATTCCATGGGGTTTGGATTTGTTTTTTTTTAAATTGAGGCTAAAGAATCTAAAACTTAAACCTGACTGGGGTTGGACTTGAAGATTTGAAGACTTGGTGGATTTTCGGAACTCGGAATTTCGATGTCGACATTTTGGCATCGAAAAAATATTTCGCAAGCTCTGAAGACCTGGGTCGCCAGGTGGAGTAGCACGATGGGTCGCCAGTTCCAACCCAACACCATCCAACACCTTTTGGGCCATCTTTTTGAATGTCTTTTTGATGAATTTTTGTCGTTTTTTGTACGTGATGTACGTGGAATTTCTCCTTGATACATTCTCCAGATTTCTCCAGTGCTGTACATTTGGAGATTCATGAGATTCAGAGATGACTTTCCCACTTTGTGAGCGCCCAAATTTCACTTGTGAGCCCTGCGAGCCCATTGCTGTCTTCTGAATTCCCCCAGTCCGACCCAGCACCGGATGGAAAGGTGCATCTTGCAGCCTGCCATGGTGCATGCTGGAGGACACCGGCTCAGCTTTTGGAAGGGACCGAGTCTTGGAACTTGGCGAATCTTGGCGATTTCCAGTCGGTGTAATACGTCTGGGACTGCAGGACTTCGCGGTCCTGGACTCAGAAACCAAGCATTGAAGCTTTCAGAAGCTTTCAGATTTGCACCGATGGTGCGTTGAAATAGATGGAATCTGAAGATCTACGGCGATTTTGGACGATTTTGGACCTAGCTTGCTTTGAAAGATTTTGAAGGGTCCGTGTTAGCCATCTTGACTTGGTTGTTTTGGACGTGATGCCCATTTTGTGTCTTGGTGGCTTCCTCTCAAGACGGACCTGTGCCGCATCTGCATTCTGCGGTGCCACTCACCTTGACATGAAACCCTGGGTAGCCAAGCGCATTGAGAATAAAGCAGCCAAATCTCATGTTGCGCAAAAGAAAGTCAATGATAAATGATAAATAAACCATCGACAAATCTGTGTATTGTTACAGACTGCACCTAATTCGTGCCGCTGGATAGCGCAAAGGATTCGCTGCCTCATGTCGGTCTCTGTGGATATTCCTGGACAAGGTTACTTTGATATCAAACTGACTGCTTCGAGCACCGCTGCTGACATTATTTTACTGCTCCGTGAGCGTTTGCCAGACAGCCCATGGCATGGGAACAAGTTGCTGTCAAGTGGGGTCTGCCAGCTACAGTGCGATGACATTGTGGAGGCAACCCGCCACAGCACTTTAGTCTTGACAAACTACTCAGAGATCACCAACCAGGAGAGAAACCTGCAGCTTTGTTTCTTTTTTCGATAGGTAATGCAGACCATGCCAGGTCCTCCGCAGCCAGTGGCAAATCACGATTAGAAACTAAATGCCAACAAGTCACGAAAGGTAGCGTCAGCTACCTGAGTTCTCCGTGCTTCAGCACAATCATAGGGGGTATTGGGGGGCCAGCCCGTGGAAAACGTAGAATTCTCGACGTTATGTTTTATCGCAAGCCAAGAGGCTATGGACCAATACTAATCAAAAGGCAGCAAAGCAAACAATAGGCGCAAAATGGACGCAACTGATTCCACCTGCTTCGGGCCGTAATAGGCTTTCCAGAAAGACATGCCGATGAAGCCGCTGGAGCCGATGAGGCCGATGGGGCCGCTGGAGGGGATGACGCCGATGAGGCCGATGAGGCCGATGGAGCCGATGAGGCCGCTGGAGCCGACGGAGCCGCTGGAGCCGATGAGGCCGATGGAGCCGCTGGAGCCGATGAGGCCGATGGAGCCGATGAAGCCGATGGAGCCGATGAGGCCGATGGAGCCGATGAGGCCGATGGAGCCGATGAGGCCAATTGAGCCGACGAGGCCGATGGAGCCGATGAGGCCGATGGAGCCGATGAGGCCCCTTGAGCCGATGAGGCCGCTGGAGCCGATGAGGCCGATGAGGCCGATGGAGCCGATGAGGCCGATGGAGCCGTTGAGGCCGATGCAGGCCGATGAGGCCGATGAGGCCGATGAGGCCGATGGAGCCGCTGGAGCCGCTGGAGCCGATGACACCGATGAGGCCGATGGAGCCGATGAAGCCGATGGAGCCGCTGGAGCCGATGAGGCCGATGGAGCCGCTGGAGCCGATGGAGCCGCTGGAGCCGCTGGAGCCGATGAGGCCGATGAGGCCGATGGAGCCGATGAGGCCGATGGAGCCGCTGATGAGGCCGATGGAGCTGATGGAGCCCCCTGCTGGAGCCGATGAGGCCGATGAGGCCGATGGAGCCGATGAGGCCGATGGAGCCGATGAGGCCTGGAGCCGCTGGAGCCGATGAGGCCGATGGAGCCGCTGGAGCCGATGGAGCCGATGAGGCCGATGGAGCCGCTGGAGCCGATGAGGCCGATGGAGCCGCTGGCGCCGATGGAGCCCCTGGAGCTGCTGGAGCCGATGAGGCCGATGAGGCCGATGGAGCCGATGAGGCCGATGGAGCCGATGAGGCCGATGGAGCCGCTGGAGCCGATGAGGCCGATGGAGCCGCTGGAGCCGATGGAGCCGATGAGGCCGATGGAGCCGCTGGAGCCGATGAGGCCGATGGAGCCGGAGATAGATCCTACGCAGTATTGCCAGTATAAAGAGAGTTGCAGGTTACAGCTACATGGGTCGAGACACCTTAACCCAGTCCACCCTGCCTACATGCGCAAGAAGTGGTGCCGCAAAATCGACGCCGACCGTCAATGGCACGGCCCCCCCCCCTCTAAAATGGTCAAGGGTTCAATTCCCACGGGTGACGCGGTCACGGTCCGCCACAGTAGAGGCACACTCTCCATGAGGGAGATGTCCCGCATAATTGGTTTGCTTCAGCCTCAATAACAGTTGCTGCAAGGGGTCTTAAAAAGGGGTTTAAAATAAACCCCTTTTCGTGCATCATTTCACGCTGCACAAGACACCGTATCATGCAGTCATGCTGTGGATAAAATCATCTTAGACTGCGCAAAAACGTTTTTGGTGTATCATCTTAGGGGCGCAGCATTTTGACACCACTCTTCTCCCACTACACTACCTTTCGTCCGCCTCCGCCTGCTCTCAAGTACCAATTGCAACAAGTGCAGCAGTGTGATGGACCGATTCATTTTTTTGTTTTGGGATTCAGTGGTTTAAACGCATTTTGAACTGGTGGTTTGTGAGATCTCCTTTATAGGTAGGGGAACAGTCGGCCACTGAACAGGCGCCTTTGTGCATTGAGAACATGTGAAGCAAAGGCTCTGTTGTCGATAGAATAAAGAGAAACTTCAGCGGCATATCCTTGAGACCATGTGAAAGAAAGGCAATATAACCAATAGGATCAAATCGAATAAAGAGAAACCGTATTTAAAAGTCAATCGTTTGAAATTCAGAGATTGCAGGCCCATGATTCCCATGATTGCACCTTTTGAGGGTACTTCACAATGCTTTTTGAATTCCATTCCAATTTCATTTGCTGCAATTGTTGGTGGACCCGTCGAAGGAGCCTTTCTGCATCGAAGATACTGCAGAGCGAGGGATCACTCGCGAACAATTGGCAAAGATCGTTGTTTTCATCTCCAAGATGGCTGACAGATGGTGCGAGACTTTCGGAGAACAACGTGGGACAAGGCTGCAGTTTGAGACCTTCAACCTGTATGATGCGAATCACTGGATCATCAAACCAGCCACCGAAGCCTGGATTTGTTGATGATGTGACAACATTTTCCAATTTGAAGAACCTACCGTTTTTCTTTTTTAATTGGCAACATTATGTAGAATCCCAGGACGGCTATGCGAAAAAGGGCTGCAGCATGGTTGAGATCATGGCGATTCAAGTGCAGAGACCTCACTGGTTTGTGTCACATGCTTGGATCGAGCCTTGGATAGGCAAACTCTCAAGGTTGTTTGAGACCGTGCTATTGCATTGTCTGTCAGCAACAAGTTTCTTTTTCCATCCGGGATCAAATAACAGCTACATAAAGGGGAGGACTTGGGCTACAGTACAGATTGCCAGCCAGGGGTCGTTTTGTACAAAAAAATGGAGTTGGGCCAACCTTTTTGCATTATTTTGCATTCATTTTGTGGTTGTTTCCTTTCAAATCCTCATTTGTATTTTGTAGTTGTATATGTTGAGTTAGTTGAAGCATCCAACGCAAAATATCATTTGCATTTTGTAGTTGTACAAGTTGAATAGGTGAAGCATCCAACATGAAATCTCATGTGCATTTTGTATATATATTATGTTGAGGAAGTTGAAACATCAATAAAATCTGTACGATTTAGTTCGACGTCACGACGTCACCCCCAAAATGTTTAATTACTGAAATTATGTTGGTCGGAACTTTGGATGGCATAGGCCCAACTACAAAATGTTATTGCCCTTAGGATCCCGATGACCCCCTGACCCGTCCCTAGGTCCGGTACGTCAAATCGATACATATGAATTCGGATGAAGAGTCACGATAATTATCATATCATATATATGTTCCAATCATGATGTAAGACATGTTTTGCATGATTTATCTTCTTGGGATAATGAAAGGTTTACATTGGATCCCTACTCCTGTCATCCCGTCTCTGTTTTGGCTCTGCGGGCCATCTTGGCCAAGATATCCAACACTTGGAGCCTCGTCTGCAGCCTAAGCTGCCCGGGTTGTCATCCCCAAAGATATGACTTTCTATAATTCTATCTTTGCAAAGTGAAGAGCCATGAGCAATTTGTAGCGTTCCAACGCCCGTCGGTGAAGCGAAGCACGGTGACATCCCCTTGACAAACGGCCAATGTGGCCAATGTATGATTCAGCACACAAGAGGGTGTACCATGACGGGTTGATTTTGAAATCGCGTACGTCCTCTAGCATGTGCATAAAATGGTGGTGCTTTGGGAGAAGCAACCAAAGGGCTTTGTTCAAAACCCCTCGTCCACGAGCAGAAGCTTGAGCCGCGCTAAGAGAATTTAGGAATCCGTACACTTCCAAATGTTGCATCCCCTTCTTGTAAAAGTCCTGAACCTGCTCCTCCGAAAGAATCACCGGCAGTTCCTGGAGGCAATGAAGAACCCATAACTATATGTGTTTTTCCCAAATGATTCGTTTAATAGAGATGGTACCCCTGTTGTAGCCCAGAATTTTAGGAGCCACCTTTTGGGCCAAATCTGTTAAGACAGCGGCACAACATTAAAATTAAACACATGACCCCTTCTGAAATTGAGCCAGCTACATGTTTTGAGCTAGATCGAAAAGGAAGAAGATTGTGGATTGCTATTCAATCTTGGGTGGTACACCAAACACTGCGCAAATAAAAAATCCCAACACCTGCCAAGCGTCATCAAGAAGCCGCAGGATTTCTGAATAGGACCAGATGGAATTTGCAACATGTTTGTCTAAATCTGTGGCTCCATCGCGTTTTCCATGCTCCACTGCGCACTCCATCAACCAAAAACTGATTGCTTTGCTAGCGCCAGCCTTGCTGCTCAAACAGGGGTAGGAAGTTCGGTTTGTCCGAGACAGGCGTGCAGGTGTAAACCGTGGTTGGTTGACCCCGAGTCTCCTTGCAGACTTCCATGCATTGAACCGCCGATAAGCTACTCGAAGACACTGGGTCATGGCCAATGGATATTGGAGAGGTGGCCATGCACAGAAGTAGCCCACTTCACACAAGTAAGCAAGTGTAGATCCATTGCATACTTTTCCAGTACCAAGCAATTGGGAATGGCAAACGTCATGCAGAAAACGCTCAACCCGACACCCGGGTATGCTGAATAATGGGTGGTAAACTTCTGGAGCCACATTCCTTTGCGCAAAGAATTGATCATGGTCAATGCGGGTTTGGCGATGGGCAGCCTCTTCCCTGAAGTCACCCAGTGTCATGGACAAATCAGCATGATTTTTCGCACAGGCACACCAGCTGCAAAACAAGTTTTTGTGGTAGTTGTGCATTCCAAACTTTTCCAGCAACCATTTAAGGTCTCCCTGTGTTGAAGAGTACGTGAATTGAAAACCCCCAGCAGTCCATGGATGAACAACCCGAGCATCACACATATTTTTGATTCTCGGGGCAAGCGCTCCCCAAATATCCAAGAAAGTTCGAGCTGTAGCATAGTGGTCCGGTAACACACAAATTGTGAAATACCTCGAAAGTGCTGGCAGGCCAGCAGAAAAATCACTGCACCAAGCCACAACTGAAACAACTCCTCCTTCAGTGTTGCGAAAACTCTGGACTTCGTCCCCGTAAAGTGACATCGGGATCAGTTTGTCGGGCTGGTTGCTTTGAGAAGCGGGATGGTTTTGCATCCAGCTCACATTTTTAATATGTGACCAAAATTCTGCTGCATCCACCTTCTCACCAAAAAAAACTTTTTTGAACAGTTCTTCACTGTGCAAATACAGAGCAGCAGCCATTTTGTCCGGAAAGATCATGGACAGATTTTGTACTGACTCTTCTTCTGTCTTTGGGTTGTAAAGACGGACACGCACTTGTTCTATCGCAACATCGAGGGAAGCACCACGTTTCAAAATAAGCCTCTGCAAATCTCTTTCGCAATTGTTGGTGAATTTCCCACCCGTACCAATAGCAGCGGCCTTTCGCAAAATGCTATGTGTCGGTAAATTCCCCCGGCTTTCATCAACCAGTTGAACACCAGCTGCTGCCAGTTGTTGTACCTTGCCATGAAAGTCTGTCAGGCTGTTTGGGAAAAAGTATATCACATAGTCCTATATTAAAGCTGGGAAGGGGATGTTTACACATATCCCGGGGTAGTCACAAAACTTAAAAATACGATGAATCAAGTATCTTTCACGGCGCTCATCTTCCCACTAGCGAAGTCATGCAGCAAGATGTCACCCAGAACACTTCCAACATCTTTTGAAGATGAAGATGAAGAAATTTCTTCAGTGAAATGCTCCTCAAGGGCCAAACCATGTAAGAGTTGAAAACCTTCTTTGGTTGAAGACCTTTGGAGTGTCCTTATAGAATGAATAAAGTGGAATAGAACTGTTACAACAGTAAGTAAAGTTTCATTGGGGATACCGTTGCTTTTTGACAAAGCCCTCAAAAAAGATTAAGACGTGTTTTCTTGTTGATGAGCAGGGGGTGGAAAGGGTATAGCCAACAATATAATATGAAACTGAACCTGATCATACCCTTCCACAAATACAGGGGAAACCTGCCCATAACACCGGGTTGCCGCCACCAGTCCTGTCTCAACCAAGGACTCTGCGATGGTTTCGCCTCTGGCCGAGCCAAGGACGGAACATCGAGCATGAGACAGGGCATGGAGAGGTGTGTCTACACTTAAGAAACTGATAGATATAATGAATATAACTGATGGTTTATACCCTATTTATCTCTATAGACATGGTAAATACAAGTGGGGGTTAAAAAAGAACCCTTATTGTATGATTTGTAGGGTTGCGACACGCGGATGGACGGAAACTGGCCTTCCCGATTCTGTGTTGAACCCTTCTTTGCTGCAGACCTCCATGGCAAGTCAGAGGAATCCCAGTGGGCTAGTTGTTTGCTTTACTGCGTTTTGATTCATGATGAAAAATCAAATCATCTTCAAACTTTTTGCAGAAAAGCAGTCTGCAGAAAATGAAAATGGACTAGCAGTTCCCCACCGTTTTCCCCAAAGGATTTGTCCAGAATGCTCACACCAAACGGGCCCACAGCCCACATGTGCGTGTGAAGACACACGCAAAGCAACCATCTTAGAAATACCCATGCCCGGCTGAACGCACAGCCACACGTCCTTAAGAACATAGGCAAAGGCTGAAGCCTTACTGGTTTTACAAAGAAATCTGTTCAATATATATGGCACAAATGCCAATGTTTTAACACGTTGAGACTGGGCTGTGGCAGCTCTATGGCACAAGTTGGGTCCCCGAGGTCATGTTTGTCACGACCGTTCATCTGGAAAACATGTCACTGTGCTCGCAGGAGTGATCAAGCGTCCTCCTCATCGTCATCCTCAGGCGGAGATGGGAACAGGCTGGTGCCTATTTAATTTTGTGGCCGGTCTCCCACCCCATGGATGCAAATGCCACCCTTATTTGGATTCTAAACTAGCTGCATGACAAGATTCCTTCTTGTTTTTTTTCTCCTTCTTTGGGCGGCACAGCCCATCGGCTGCGTCCTTGTCCTCGTAGAACATGGACTGGCGGTCCAATGCCAAGCGAACAGCAGCGCTCATCTGGTCCGGAAACACCGCATCTTGTCCCTGCGGGGCATCAAAATCAGACCCTCACAGAATACAGATGGTTTTTGAACCACACAGATATAATATATATATATATATCATATATGTATATGAATTATTACGTATGTGTTTTTTGCCTATATGTTGGTCGAATCTGATGCTCTTATAACTAGGGTCTATACTACAGCATAAGATTTTTTGGTGGTCCCTTTTGATACTAATTATCTGATGCAATTGCAGCTAGAGTATGTACAACGTAGCCTGGCGAATCATACCCTTCAGCTGCATGAAGCTCTGCTCCAATTCGACGGCGTGGTTTTCAAAGGAAGTGCCTTAGATATCCACTGGGCCGTTGGGGATATATGGAACAGATATGGAAATCACCCTGTACTGCTTCATGTTTTCCCTGCGGGTTTATCCTGCAAAGCTAGGTACACAAAGCTCCCTGGTGCTTCAAATGGTTCAGCTTCAAGGGATATGTCTTAGCATTTGACACATCTTGAAGAAGACGGGACAACAGCCATTGAGCAGCTTCAAAGGGATCCTCAGGCATTCCTGCCTTCTTCCTTAGATGCTGAAGCTTGAATTTTTGCAATGCCAACACAAATCAAGAAAAAAGAAAAGAATCCAATCGAGATGTTTGGGTGTGGTCAACCAAATTATGAATAATTCCGAGCCATGACTCTTGCGGGTACTGGGGGCTGGCTTGCCATTCTTGTTGCCACCTTTCCCATTACCAAGACCAAGAACGGTGGGTTGCTGAGTTCCCTGGGACCCTGAAGCATTGGATGCTGCACGTGGGAGATGGGCAACATCCGAACCAAGTTCCCCGATGACACCGTCCGTCAGCATCGCTTGGGCGGCCTCCCAAGACCAAGGGAAAGAATTAGGATGAATGGGTTTCATCATATATATATATATATAGATGTGGATGTAAATGACGTAAACCATAAATGTGATATTCTTTATGTTATGCATGTTATATTTACAATTACCTGTATTTTATTGATAAAAATGTATCATTTATTTATATATATTTAATATGTCGAGCATGTTTGCAATATTGTATATGTAAAGGTCTTGTAAAAATAACATATTTACAATATTGTATCGATATATATATATATATTCAATATATGTACTCAAAATATTTTATTCATTATTTAGCAAAGATACGATTATAATATTTAAATAAACAAACTATATTTATATTCTATATAATTGTTCAAATTGTTTTATATCATTTTTGAATAAAATATTGTATATTTGAAATATGGTATTGCATATATATATATATATATTAAAGTATATATGAACTGTAGATTATACATAGAGGATCCTATGCTTCTTACCCATGATTATGATTCTGAAAATTGAACATATGTTTAGAATGTGCAATTTCACATAACTAGTTCAGTGTTGAATTGCTGACACATGGCCCCCATTTTATAACACAAACACACAGAACTTGAAACCTTTACCCCAGATCTTTCATGGTGATGCCCGGGCTAGCTTCCGGCAGGCCATTGCGACTCTTCCCTGCCTCCGATCCTGGATCGAGTGCCCCACCGGATTGAACTTCAAGTCGGTCCTCGTGGATGTCTTCATGCGAATGGGTCATCTCAATGAGCACCTAAGACGGGGCAACACTTTGGTTATATAACATACCATGGGGACCCATCTCAGTTTCTTATAAAATCCCAATGCAACATATTCATCAATGACGGTGATTTGGTATGACCGTGCTTCCAAATATGTTGTAGATCAGGTATGAGCTAAGAAACGTAGTACATTGTCATGGCTGGATCGTCCGGGAGGTCTGGGTGCTCACGGTATTCACCAGTGGACTTCTTCCGGTGAATCACGGCATCAGCCAAGGCAACGTTCCCATTGTTCAGTTGAATGACTTGGTCTCGTGTTCTCCAACCTTATGAGATTGGACACAAACATGGCTGGGTAAAACCAACGTATTGTTTGCAAAAAAACAGCTAGCCAAGCAAGGGGAAACAAAGTCATGCATGGTATCCCAGAAACCAAACTTCTTCTTCCCCTTCTCGCGGTCAATCCGGGCACGAGTCTGAGTCACAGCAATCCTGAAGGTCCATTATGGGCCGTGGGTAATGAAGCTGACCAGCTACCCCAAAAAACAATCAATAAAATCACAGTAAAGGATATTGGTTCCGATTTTATGAAAACAGTGGTGCCATGTACGCATATGGTCACAAATTTGTTTGCAACATATATAAGCCAGAGATCCTAGCCCAAGACCCACCAGCGGAGCACCAAAGCTGGAAAAGTTTGTTCTTCGCGGTCTTGCTCTTGCTGACCACTGCAGCTTGCCAAGCTTCAACAAATTCATGGGGAACCATCTCAGTCCCAACCTCACCTGTCACCTGCCGCTTGAAAGCTGCGTAATTCTTTTCCCTTTCTTTTGATGAGCTGTTCTCGATGGCACCCCCATCTCCTGTGACTTCAAACCTTGGGTCTTCAAACGACACCTGTGGTGCAGCCTTGGGTGCTGGGGCAGGGGCGGTAGCTTTGGGCGGGCGCAAGATAGACTGCGGTGCTGCTGCTGCTGCTGCTTGCCAAGATGACTTGGGTCCTGGAGCTGGTGGTGCGGGGGCTTGGCATGGTGCCTTCGCTGGGATTACCTGTGCTGCTGCTGCTTTCCAAGTTGCCTCGGGTGGCGGGGATGGGGTTGAGCCCACTCCTGGCTGATGCTGCTCCACTTGCTGTGGTGCTTTTGGTGGCGTTGTGCTGCTATCAGAAAGCTTGCGACGGGACTGCGGCACATTGTTTTGGCTTTCTGCTCCAAGCTCACGTTTTGGCTTAACTTCCAGTGATTGGCTTTCTGTGTCAAGTTGCGTCTCAGCTGGCATAGGTCCTGGACCTGCGGGAGAACCAGGCACAGTGCTTGCTTGGGAGTTGGCCTCTTCATTATCCATCTTGGTTTGTGGAATGTGCTTGGCTCTGCTGGGGGTGCTCACAGGGCGGACTTTGGCCAAAACCAAAGTTCCATCGCTTTGGTTTGTCTGTTCCTCTTTGCGGGGCATGGTTTGGGCTGGAGCGGGATGCGGGGATGCCTTGGGCACAGGTGCCACTGATTCCACTTTGGCCCTCAAACTTGGTGGCGGCATCGGGGGCGGCGCGGCACTAGGTTTTGACGCTGGTGGGCGTGGTTGTTGCTGTTGGCGCGTGTTGCTGGGCGGAGGTGGTGGTGGGCATGGCGGGGCTTTGGGAGAGTAGTGAAGTGTGGGAGCTGGGGAAGGTGGCTCGGAAGTGCACTCTGGCTTCACTGGCTGTCCAGATTTGCGTGCAGTGCTGACCGAACTGTGTGATGGTTCTGCGGCTGGTGACTTGTTTGCTGTAACCCCTGGTGCGGGTGCTTTTGCTTTCTTACGAACTTGGCCATCAACATCATCATGTTCAATCTTTGTTGGTGCTGGACGTGTTCCACTCACCCTGACCCCCCCCGGACTTGCGGCAGGTACTTGGCCAGTGATGTCCAAAGAGGCACAAGACCCAGATCGGCTCGGTGTAGCTTGCCTTGGAGCACAGGGCCGCAGGGAATTCTTAAAGCTTTTTTACAGAGACATCCACACATTGGATATGAAGTACTCCAAACATTTAAACAAGGGACGTCATGACGGTCAAATTGCCAGTAGACAGAGAGACTGGCTTCAGCTTCATTGATGCAGGCCATGCATAGGGTTCAGGTGATCCATCATCCACCTGTCTCGAAACACACCATATTGAGAATAAACAAATATTTGTCATAGTGTACAGAAAACATCAGAAAACATATTCGTATGTTGATCACACACAAGATAACCACATATATATATATATACATATATATATATATGCATATACATATATATATATAAGGGCCCCCCGGGGCCTGGCTGCTCTGACTATCAGCCAAAGTTGTCTGACTGTCCATGCTCCGCATTTCAAGGCTCCTCTGAGCTGTGTCCTGCATTGCCAGGCAGGGATAAGGGAACATGACAATGCTTGGGTGTTTTTGTAATGTGAAGCTATGACGATTATTTAAGTTATTTAATGGGAGGCTATGGGGAGTAGATAGGTTTACGCATAATGGGATGTTATGTGGATTATATAGGTTAATGCATGGGAACATATGGGAACCTATGGGGGGGCATACATATAATTGTAAATTAGTTCAAGTTTGGGACCAACCAATGTAAAATCAAACCTTCGGTCCTTCCCATACACAGGAGATTTAAAGGCTGACGTCTTTGGAGGCGGTGTGGAAAAGGTTACACCAGGGTCATCCCCATCATCCTGGCAGGGGCACATGACTAAGAGGGAAATAACAGTCCTTCTTGACACAGCAGCCATTCCAGGTCTCAAAGAAATCTTTTATTCTCTTGGAGTAGGGAATGAAGCCAGAAGCCTTCCCCGCCTAACGCAGTTTTTCTTGTGTGTGTGTGAGGCCATGCACCCTAAAGCATGTTGGGGGATCCGCATTGAACCAAGTTGAAAAACACTTCTAGCAACACAAATGCCCCAGCGCCTCTAAAACAACAACATCCGGGCGGTAAGCCATGTAGGCCAACCACACGTACCCGGCGCACAGTTGATCGGAACACTTCACCCAAATGGTGCTGCAGGTGGACATGAACACTATGTATGTATGATATATATGCAAGCATCAGCAAACATGGAACCCTAATGCAGGAAGCTACCATACCAGCCATAACAACATCCCAAAACAACTACCAACACTAATCCCAACTGACGCAGCGCGACGCTACATGACGTAACGACACAAACCGATACCAACCGAGACCAAGGCTACCTGACCCTATACCGACGCCAGCTGACGTTCAATCCCTAACCGACGCTAACCGACGCTAACCGACAGTAACCGACGCTAACCGACGCTAACCGACGCGCTAACCGACGCTAACCGACGCTAACCGACGCTAACCGACGCTAACCGACGTGCTAACCGACGCTAACCGACGCTAACCGACCCTAACCGACGCTATCCGACGCTAACCGACGCTAACCGACGCTAACCGATGCTCTAACCGACGCTAACCGACGCTAACCGATGTGCTAACCGACGCTAACCGACGCTATCCGACGCTAACCGACGCTAACCGACGCTAACCGACGCTACCTAAACAGACCCGAACTGACAGTGGCCCAAACCAATCCCGACAGGTCACCAATTCCTAACCGACGCTAACCGACGCTAACCGACGCTCGGGTCGTCGAAACAAAGGCTTTTGACAGGTCACGATTGCCTAACCGACGCTAACCGACGCTAACCGACGGAGCGCCCTGAACGATATGGGACCCACCCGCTAGCCGACGGAACACCCCGAACGATATTGGAACCACCCGTTCATGACATGTAATCGTATGATATGGTATGTAGAGTTTGAAAGGATTTCCAGGTGTGAAAAAAAATCCATTGGACTCCCCAGCCATGAAACTATAGTTTCTTTGGCCCACAACACGAGATATATCTCTACGATGTCAACTGAAGGTGCAGAATCCCTTTCATGCTGTGATTGCCAAAGTGTCAGGCTCTCGGCGGCGCAATGGGAAAAAAACCGTGGTTAAACCACAATTCTTTCCTCTTTCATGTTGAATTTAAAGAGTTTGCTGCCTTTGTTGCGCAAACCCTGTAGTCTACAAAACAAAGCGGTATAGCTCATGCTTCTTTCCCTGGGTAAGAAGTCCGCACAGGAAATCTTCAACTTCGTCCATCCTAAGTTTTTGTGCATGACATGTCGCACAATGTGATCACATCAGATCCCATTATGATCGTGAACATCTATGACATAGAACCCGTGAATATGGCAAGAATCTTGGCGTCATTCCATGGGTCATGACTGTAGTCGATCTCAAATCTCGCCGGGTCCAAGGCATGCTGTTGAGCATGGAGATCAAACTGACGGGCCACCTTGGAGGCTAGGAGGTGATGTTGGAGTAGCAAATACTTAAAAGCAAACCATGGCAACACAATTTGACATATGAACCTTATAGATCTAATCTTTGGCAATAGAACACTAAGGATGAAACTTCTCGTCCAAATTGCGAGGGATAGACTTGTGTTGCCTTTAGGTGCCTGGATCCTTTGAAACGGGTCTTGTTCTGGCCGTCCCTGTAGCGCACTGTCGTGCTGGCAGGTCGAAGGCCAGCTTGAGTAAGCAAAGCCATCCACCGCTGTCGGTTGAATCTCCTAGCCAATCTACAAACGATTGAAACCAAGCTGTGTGGACCGTTCAGTGTGAGTCAAGTTGGGTATCAGCCAGTCACCCTTCACCCTTTAAGTTTCAACACGCGCGCATGACTGCCATTCCAACACCAAAGTCTCCTGTGCATGTGTTGAACCCATGGATCATCACTGAATAACTTGGTTGGTTTGCAGCTCAAAGCACCAAACATTCCCAGAGACGTGTGCGTCTCAAAGACATTCCAGACCCGGAAGAATTCCGCCAGGCGTTCATGCAAATGGATCTCGGCAGCTGGGTGGCTCAGGGAAAAACAAGGGCATAGGATGGCAGAGGTTTTGAAACATGTTTTGTGCCTTTCTGTTTCATACATCCTGTCAAGCCAAATTGGAAGCCGTGATGCGATTGACTGCAAGGGATTTTCTAGCATCCAATGGCACCCACAATAGATGCATACCATGAATAAGAGAGTCACCTAAGTCAACCACTTCTGTGGCACATGTTGCACGGGGTGTGCGTGTGCATGTTCTGTCACTAATGCATGCACGTTGAAGTTTGAGCTCATGACCCGTGCCACCATGCAATTAGCAGCCTGTATATAGGGCAAGGACCTCGAAGTTACAAGTTCAGTTGCGTAGTTTGCTTACATGACACTCATTAACACCCCATGATCATCAAAGATCATGGCCCAGCTTCACCAAGCTACCGGTGCCCCATTGGATTGTCTGGCGTTCTGCCAGAAGTGCCACCTGAGGCCGACAAGGCATTTATAGAAGGTTGGATCATGACTCCAGGCACCTGTGGGCGAAAAGGGATGGTCTCATGTGGGGAATGCAACTCATTTATATTTCCAACTTCGTATGCAATCAAAAAAATCTCCCATTACTTGAGGTGAGCATGGTTGGCCAATACCTTGTCAGCCTAGGCACGGTTTATCAAGGTGTATGAGCTACATACCACTGCAGCTGTGAATAATCCACCAGGCTCCATGCGGAGGATTGAAGCCAAATGTCGTAGGAATCCAATTGGACTATTGATGTCCTTAATCAAGCCCAGCAACCACCGTTGGGGGGGGGGCAGTATTCTATGACTAGATCAAATACCTTGGAATTACAAAAAGTGGATATCCAAATACATCTAATCTTAGATTTTTGCGATTAAATAAACTATCTTATATATATATATTATAACCAGTTGAGTTTCGTCAAATTCATGTAGTTCGATATCCAAGCGGGCAACTCGGTGGCCTCTCTGTTTGAAACCACGGGCAATTGCCCCCTTGCCAGAGAACGCGTCGACATTGCGGAAACGACGTTCTTCATCTGGAAACTCATATGCCTAGGATGATGTTGGTGAAACTAGATACGGATTTTAAATGGTCCCAACTTGAAACAAAGTGATATTCCTTGAGTTACTTGATTCTGCATCCAAACACTGATAAGGAGTTGAGATAAGGGGCTGACAACAACAGCTGAATCAGCATGAACAACCTGATCGGTAAGCACCCAGGCCGTTTCGGCCCCTGTGGCAGAGGCCTGGGAACGAACACAGCCTGATCCGGAGCATCCTCTGGCATGTCGATGTCATCATCCATCACCTTCCTTGGGCACCGGTGGCAATGGGCCGCTTTAATAAACCCAATTAAGGAAAGAAGGGCATACCAAAAACATGTATATAATCAATAGGGCCAAGATGTTGCAAATCATAGCTGTTCTGAATTATTTTGCAATGGAAGGCTCGCACCCTGGCGGTGCATGGGAAGAAACCAGGGGTCTGTAGAAAGCAGGACCCCACAAGTGTCAAAAATGGCTGCATAGCAAATCTGGATACATGCTGATAAATTTCCAAGAGATTCCAAAACATGAAACAACTACAAGGGTTGGCATATATTTTTCCCATGCAGTCCAACTCTTCTTCTGTAGCGAAGATGCTTGTGCAAAGATTAGGCGCATGTGCGTCCATGCCAATGCCACTGAAACACGGGAGAAGTGCCAAACAGGTCTATAGAGCAAAAAATGTAAGGTTGTTTTACCACATCATGTATCATCATATCCAAAGACGATTGTTATCTTATACTTTTGGCACTCTCCGTGTTGATCCTGGCAGTCCCGGAAACAAAGCTTTGTATGTCCTTCATTGACTCAAGATAATCTACTCTGGCTCCCCCCCATCTCCCTCAAGCGACTCTTGGCCGCTCTGGCCTGCCTGGCTGCCAGGCTCTGCCGGTGGAGTGACCTTTTTGGTCCGGGGCTGAGCTGCAAACTTCCCACACAAAAGTGGACTTACCAACCCATGGTCTTGGAAGATACGGGATGCCTTTTTGGCATCAACCTTGGCTTTGTCCTTATCGTCCCCGTTCAACTTCATAGATTTTCTGTAGGCATTGGAATACACATGCCCCGCGGTAACATGTGGCGGGGGACGGTAAGCACCTTCAAGGTCACCCCCTAAATCCAACTCACTCCCATGACCATCAACAGCCTTTGCAGCCGGTTCTGAACCGGCAGCAGCAGCCCGTGGTGCTGCTTCAACAGTCTCAACATATACATGTCCTTGCTCATCAATCTTCAGGTCGATCGCCGCTTCTGCAAACGGCGAAGGCGCCGTCTCCTGATTGTTGGGAGAAATGAAAAAGGGTGACTAGGTTAAAGGTAAATCCAAGCTTGATGAGGTTCAAGAAATTTGAAAATAAGTTTGGCCTCCTCAGGCTTTCCCGTAGGCTTCACAAGCGGTGGGTTGTTCTCCTGGCATATTCAAAAGCCCTACAACTGGTTGGTTTCGTTTTGGAAGATCATGTTGGGTTTCCTTTGGGAATATCACTCTGATTTGTGCTCCTTGTTCTCATCTGCAGCTGCTTTTGCAGTGCGCCGACGCTTCGGTTTACTCTCTGGCACACTTGGGGGCTCTGAGTTTTTTTTTTTTGAGGGGGCTGCCTTTGCTTTGGGCTCCCTTGGCTCTTTGCCCTCAGCAGGCTTTGCCTTGCGGCCCTTAGTTTTGCCAACGCAAGCCCCTTGCTGACTGAACACTGCTAGGCGATCAGAGCAGGCCACTACATTCAAAGCATCCCCAAAAGGTGCTTCTTCCATCACGCTCGCGTACTTGTAGGCATCTCGAGTTTTTGCCTCTAGCTACTGTGTGAAACATAAACACAAAGACACCATCGTTTGCTGCAGGGCGGAGTATCATCCTTGCAGACAAGGTGCTGGAGCAATGTGGGCATCGGCGGGCATCGGTGGTGCCTGTGGCCATGTCTCATGTTAGTATGTATGCATGCATGTAAGTATGTATGTATGTAGGTATGTAGGAATGTAGGTCTGTAGGTATGTACGTATGTCTGTATGTCTGTGTGTCTTTGTGTCTATATGTCTGTATGGCTGTATGTTTGTATGTTTACATGTCTGTATGTTTACATGTCTGTATGCCTATATGTTTGTATGTCTGTATGTCCTTACATCTGTATGTATGTATGCATGCATGCATGTATGTATGTATGTATGTATGTATGTATGTATGTGTGCCTGTATGTATGCATGTAAGTATGCAATGTAAGTTAAGTATGTTTTGTATGTTTTGTTGTGTTATGGTATGTTATGCTTTGTATATGCATGTATGTATGCATGCATGTATGTAGGTATGTATGTATGCATGCACGTATGTATGTATGCACGTATGTATGTATTATACACATGTATGTATGTACATGTATGTATGTATGTATATATACATTTATGTATGCATGTATGTTTGTAGGTAGGTATGTATGTATGTATGCATGTACGTATGTTTGTATGTATGCATGTACGTATGTTTGTATGTATGTGTGTATGTGTGTGTATGTGTGTGTATGTGTATGTATGTGTCTGTATGTGTATGTATGTGTATGTATGTACATGTATGTACATGTATGTATATGTATGTACATGTATGTATATGTATGTAAATGTGTGTTTATGTATGTATATGTATGCATATGTATGTGTATGTGTATATGTATGCTTATATGTATGTATGTATGTATGTATGTATGTATGTATGTATGTATGTATGTATGTATGTATGTATGTATGTATGTATGTATGTATGTATGTATGTATGTAGTATGTATGTATGTATGTATGTATGTATGTATGTATGTATGTATGTATGTATGTATGTATGTATGTATGTATGTATGTATGTATGTATGTATGTATGTATGTATGTATGTATGTATGTATGTATGTATGTATGTATGTATGTATGTATGTATGTATGTATGTATGTATGTATGTATGTATGTATGTATGTATGTATGCGTGTATGTATGTGTGCGGGTGTATGTATGTATGCGTGTATGTATGTGTGCGGGTGTATGTATGTATGAGTGTATGTTTGTATGTTTGTCTGTCTGCCTGTCTATTTGCATGCATGTGGGGATGTCTCGAAATGAGGTGATCTTTTCTTTGTAAAAAATGGCTGTAGAAAGAGCTAAAAAGGACACCTCATTTTGAGACATACCCGTTTTTGTATGTATGGATGCGTGTGTGTGTCTGTATGTATGTTTGCATGCATGAATGTACGTATGTATGCATGCGTGCATTCGGGTATGTATGTATGTTTGTATATGTGCTAGATGCCTTTAAAATTACATATCTTTTTCTGGGGAACCCGGGGTTGAAATTGCAGTGATATCATCAGATGTTCACTCAAAAATTGATCGCTTCAAATGGCTTCAAAAACTTATGTGTATTGAGCCTGTTTGGCCCCACATCAAGACAAGTTAGGCGCCTCAGGCGCGGAAGGTAGGTCACTCACATCCGCCTGCGACAGAACCCCTGGCTCTCTACTCTGCTCTGTACAACATGGAAAAATTCCCCATACATGGCATATACAGTATACAGCAGGACGCGAGTCATGTCTAAAGCATATTCTTCGGAACCTCTGCCGTGATCTCCGGGGGTGTTGAGAGGGTTTTGTCCTCACAGAAGATAGCTAAATTGCATTTACAAGGAAGGGTGGAAAACTGGCACGGTGTCCTGGCAATCCCCATCATCCTCAGCCACCTGGCTGCATGGGACACGGATAATTGAGGGAACTCATGAGAACCTTGGTGACAAGTGCATACTGCGAAGCGAGGCTGTGGCTAGAAATCTGGCCTGGTGGACCTCACAATCACAAATTTCCATCGCGTCCATCTCCTGGATAACAAAAAAAATGTTAAGGCTATCCCGTATGAAGTTGCTAAAGCTGTTTGTTTTTTGGCTATGTACCGTGGTTTGATCATTTAACCCCCGGGTCCTTCGCCAACATGTCCTCAAGGCCGCGGCTTGCAACAGCATCAGCTGGCATGTCCTGCTAGTGCAAAGACTTCTTGACGGTTATAAAAACTTATAATTTCAAGAGGATTATGTAGGGTATGTACTGCACGGTTTTGGAATATTATATCATTCTTTCTGAAACTTACCCTGCATGAGTATTTTGAACCCACAGACCCCTGGCCAGGCAAGACTTTTGTCCTCCTCATCTGAAGAGCCGATGACGTCGAGGGCCACAGAGGGTTCTGGCTCAGTCGGGGTGATGCAAGGCGAGCTGGAAGTCTCCTGGTTTGGAGCCTGGGCTGGCGAAGTCATTTTTTTCTACGGGTACCCCTGCATGATAGCAGCTTGTGTGTGTAGTTGATATTTGCTGCAACAGCCATTGCATATGTTATAGATTAAGAAACCACATCCAACGCTTCGGATACAGCTTTTCCAATCTCTTCCAACTCATCATCAATCTGGTGGATAAGGTCACCAGCAGATTTGGCAACAGACTGAAGGTGCTTGATCTCCTTGTCACCTCGAATTTGGCAAGTAGATGTACCACAAGAGAATCATTACATCACTGCATGGTGTCTATTGCACATGTGAACTTATATAGAAATCTTGGAAGTTACATTGCACTATGGTTTGAACGAGAATCGAGAACTGGGCTCATCAATTTCGTCATCCGAAAGAAGAATTGTTTCGCCAGGCTCCTTCATCAGGCGCCCATGTGCCATGGGGAAAACACATTCTTTGAATAATTGGAAGTTTGGGTTTGTAGATCACATGCATTCCACAAGTTGGTAAAACATGCATTGATGTTCAACTCACCTAACGTAGAAGATGTGCGGAGACTTTTTGGATAAATTATCTATTTGTTTGGTCCGAAAACATGAATGTATGTTCAATCCTCCAAGTGCTCCTTGGACTCCACTGCTTTGTCGGGAACACATGGAACGAAAAGATCTTCTTCTCGAGGCTGATATGCATCGGGCATGTTCTCCCACATCTCCCGCTCCTGTGGCACGGATACGGTATATATATTATATAATCAGGATGTATACATATGTATGTGTCACCTTGACAATATGAAAAAGATAAAGATCACCTTGACTACCTTGACATATTCTATTCCTGCTCGGTTTGGCAGTTCACATGTGCACTCAACCCCTATTTTCTACAATACTCCTCCTCCGTCATTTTCGGCGGCTCTGAGGCTTCGAAGGAAATGCCTGAGATAGGGCGCCGGCACCGGTTCCTATGAAGGGGTTTGGATTGGCAAGAGCAAAAAAAAGAAGCTGCCGTCCAACCTGCACATTGGGCAGCATATATGCCGACAAGACGTTCCGAAACAAAAATCACTTCACCATAGTCAGCCACAACTGTTGACTTCTTGCCGGAGTTTGGCCGTGCACGTCGAGGGTTGGATCGCATCACATTCCGTAATTTTTCAGCCGCCTAAGATACATACACAAATATGCGTGTGTAAAGTGTGATATGACCCTGCTACTGCATATATGCGTGCATCGTGTGTGAGCTGCATTGATGTTTAAAGCATCCATGACACATCACCTTTGGTGCCTCTCTTGACGGCTTTTCTCCAATAGTTTCTGGCGTAGCTCATCAGCCCGAACAGCACATATGACTCCTTACGGGCCCCCAAACAGCCCAAAATCATGTCAGAAGAGCATTGAGCATCTTATTGCTGTACACACGCGCTATTGTCAGTACATAGTCTGTCTGCAGCTGAAGCTCATCAAGCGCCCACCGTCTCTTTGCGCGCAGCACTTTCATTGCTTTTGAAAGTTTCCCTTCATTTTCATCGTCTAAATTGATGTACGCAAGCTGAAAGTCAGAGACTGAAAAATCACCTAGGCAGAGCGGTATTGAACATTTTGCATGTGCTCACATACGTGCAGCGCAAGCGTAAGTTGCAATCGCATACTCGCATGCACACGCACACACAAGCGCCGGCCTAGGGATTGCGTACATAAGGGAAGCAAGGCAGCCAGGAAACATTGAGGGGACAACTCACTGAGTGCGAGGATCAGGCTCAAATACTTCTGCATATCATCAACACAGATTTTCGCAACATTTTTCACGGCACCGAAAGTAGTGTTGTTGGGAGGCTTTCGCTCCGCGCACTGTACGAGCGCATTTGATGGCAGGTGTGCCTTCAAACAGCCTTAGCAAGGCCGTCATCGACAGTAGGCGCCTACAAAATACGTATATAGAGTAGGTGTAAACATGTGCACTTTAAAGATCCTTGAGGATCTAGGGTATATGTAGGCTAAATAAACACAAAAATAAATCAATAAGGATAGATATTTTTTTTTGTATATGCTTTCAAGGTATATCAAACTTGCATCTAGGAAAAACCATTCCGGCCCATGGCACATAACTAAGTGGGACAAGCTACACACCACGTCTCCCGTGCTGACGCTCATGGACGCCAGAAACCCTAGATGCCAGAGGAAACTGAGCCAAAGTAGCTATTGATACTGCGCGTATGTTCTTCCTCTCAAACTTTGACAGCTCTTATCAGTCCATGACATGGGCGTCACTGGAAAATGACAAGCATGATCGCCAAACCTCACATCCCGGTGGCCTTGAAGATGCTGCTTAGACTTCTGCGGCATTGTGGCCGGGTCCCGTATGTGCAACCCTCCATACTTGAAGTTGTTTGATGATTTTGACACTTGCTCAGGAGGTATTGAGAGCTGTGCAATGCATTATGTGTTACCTACAGGCCCATCTGTTAGTTCTGTCCTCATACATGCTAACAACATATTTCTTTATACATCCAATTCTTTTCTTAAATATTCATGTTGCACCTTGTTCCACCTTTTGTGGAACCATTGTTTGAGCATCATATACTCACCACGATAGTCTTTGACCCCTGGCGACCCGTCGGACCGATAAAGCCAATAGCCCCACAAGGGTCAAGGACCTCGCTCAGCAAGGGTCAAGTTCACGGTATGTGCTGGGCAAGGGCCAGCCTGTCCTAGTGATATACCCTAGATCCTTAGGGTGGGAAAATTCATGCATTTCCGATTCTCAGCTATTTTTCAACTTCAGATGCATTGGTTTTTGTATAGTGCATATTTTGAATTATTTTCCGAGTCAAATTAAGTTGTGTTCTGTATTTTGTAGCTGCAAAAAGGTACCATGAACCATGCATCGAATTTGGTAGTTGCGCACCCTATGCTTTGTGTCTTGTACCTATCAAAGTCCTCTGCACAACTCCTCCCCCCTTATCTGAACCCTGATCTTTTTCCGCTAATAATTCACATTCCCCTAGAAGCCTTGGTTGAGTTTTGGACTTATTAATTTCGGACCCTCAATAGGATGCTGTATCAAAAAGAAATGAACATCCAGCATAATGATAGATGAAAGTCAATCTATTGCTTTGAAGCACGTCCAATTTTGTGTTGGGCAGATCTGTGAGGAGCCTGTTTGTAAGTTTCTGGCCTGCTTGGAGCAGCATGCTCTGGTGCGAGAACTCTCAAGCAGTACATTCTATTGGGTCTGTGCATATGCCAATAACCAGCACTGCGTGGAAGAGGATATCAAAAGCAACCCGCGCAGCACTTCATTCTACAGAGCTATGCAGATGTCTGAGGGAGTTCTTTTGGTGCTGGATTCAGCTGGATTCGCCCCGGGAGGGGGGCACAGCTATGACCTGGCATGGCTGCGCGGGAATTAACCCGATATCCGGTTGCACGACTCCGGATGATAAATACCTCCCTGGTCGGGGGGTGCTTTAGCCACCCCCCCGACTATGTCATGGCGCTCAGCGCGAACCTGGAACCTCCAGGCCTGTGATGTTTACTTTGGCGCCTCGCCAAAGACGATGTGATCCAGGATATTGCAGACGAGGGCTGCTACAGTTTTGGTTGGCGGCTGCTGCAGACGTGGCTGTCGCAACCCGCCATACGGCGGGAGTTTTGTGGAGCTGAGCGCTTGGCCCAGCTTGTGTGAGGCAGGTGAGCTCGGTTCTTGCTATTGGATGATGGGGCGCTTCCATGGCATGGCACGCTGCGTGCACTTGACGGCTGCTCTTCTTCAGGCCGTCTACCGCAGCTGCCTCTTTGCCTCGGTTGAGCACATCTTTCACTGGCTACCACTTGTTCACTTCAATGCGTGATGGGCGAGGGCCCGTCACCGAATTGAGTGCAGATGGTGCTAGACCATCCGTTAATGTACCCACGCCTTGAAGAGAGGCAACTTCTGCTGTGGCGGAAGTATGGTTTGGCGAGCATGTGGTCACCACATCGTTCTCTACGATTGGCTGGCGACTCTTGAGGCAGCATTTCGCTGCCAAGGTTTTTGTCTTCCACCCACGCTGGAAGTTGTATTGTACAGGATTGCGAGCTTTGTCTCAAGCTACCCTCCAGGAGTGGGGGTGGCCCCCAGCGCCTATGGCGCCCGAAAGCTGCCTCCAGCCACTCACCTCGGTGGGCCCAGGCTGTGGCAGCGTTACAAATGCCCAACAACAACAATGGAACGCCTTTTCCAATTGTTGGGACTCGGGGGTGGCGGTGGGAATTTGCTTCAACAGCTCAGTGCTATGATGGGCCATGGCGGGTGTGCCAAACCCAAGAAGATTAAGAACAAGAACAAAAATAAACAGGGCGGTGATGGTGGTCTGGGGGATCACGGCCAAGGGGGTGGTTTTTACCCTTCTTCTCCTCCTACTCAGCCTCCGCAGAATACTTCGAAACCACATCCTAAGCAAAAGGCGGACGTCCAAAAACAGCCACACACAGAGCAGCAGCTCCACAAAACGCCCAAGACCTTTGCTGAAATGGTTCGAGCCAACACTGCGTTTAAGCCGGTGTGGAGCCTGCGTCAGTCAGACTGGACGGGGCCCATTTTGGGCTTTGATGACTTTTGTGTCGCACTGGATAAGCCTGGAAATATTTCAGCTACAGTGCAAGTGAACTCGGAAGAGCAACTTGAGGAGTTGCAGGTTTTGCTGAAAGGCGATTCCCCTGATATCAAAAGAGAGCTCAACATCACAGCTGTGATGCTAGCGCCGAAAGAGGCCAAGCAGACTGAGGAGGATCGACCTTTGCGGATGGTGCCAGGAAAGATCTCGGGCAAGGTGCAGCCCAGGCAGGCGTTTGTGATCCCACTTCAAGGCCAAGGGCCATCACTCAAGAGAGCTGCCGTTGTGTCAGCGGCTCCTGCAGTGCAGCCTGAAACTGTTGTAGTGAGATTAAGTGTTGATGCAAAATATTTGCAAAACAACGAGTGGCAGAGCATCCAGGCCAAGCCAAAGGCAAACGCGCAGGCTTGGTTGCATCGGCATGTTCCAGAGCATGTTGCGGACAAAGTCTTTGATATGTGGGCGTTTCAGCAAGAAAGCATGAAAGGCGGAGGCAAGCCAGTGATCACTGGCCTTTTACGCATTGAGCGAAGTGCTGCCAAAGCTCTTCTAGGCTGCTCAGGCAAAAGTACCTGGTTTGTGGAGCCTTTGCAATGGAACAACTCCGTGATTGAATCTTGCGATGTTGAGTGGGTCAAGAAAAGTTCTGAACTTGATGGGCCCAGCTACTTGCAGAAGGTTCAGTCCATGGCTGGTGACCTGGGCATTGCCCGGGGATGGAATGGACTGGGAGTACGTAAGCCCAGGAGCGCCGAGCCTCCTCCTAAGGCCAGAGCTTGGCGCGTCACTGGTGTTCCGCGAGATTGGGCGGCTAGTACCTTGACTCAGGAACTTACACGTGCTGGCCTGACTGAACTCAAGGTGTTGTCCCGGAAAACTGTGGGCAAACAAGTGGAATGGTGGGTGCAGGCCAATGCTCAAAAGGATATGGATTTCATTGAAATTCAGGCTGGCGAAAAAGTCATTGTAGCTGTTGAAGCTCCAAGACAAAGACGGCAGAGAACACATACCATGAAACTGGCTAGCAATGGAAGGGTCAGTTATAACCAGAGCCATGCATGGCAGGCGATTGCCACGCCTGCTCCTCGCAAATCTTTCTACATGGGAACGCCAGTCAAAAAGCCAGTGACTATTGCAGGGGCTGAGAAGGTTCCTGCTGAGAATTTGGACGAGGACAAGTCGGACGCAAAGATGGACAATGCTGGAGAACCCGCTGGGGCAAAAAGAACTGTCAGTACTCCTGAAAAGAGTCCTCCGGCCAAGCGTGTTGCGGGGGAACCCAAGCCCCCTCACAATATGAAGGTGAAAAGCATCCCTGCTGACGGCAACTGTCTTTTTGAAGCCCTTGCTCAAAGTTTGGGCGGAAAAACAGCCAGGAATGTGCGTGCAAGCGTTGTCACCCACCTGACCAAGCACCAGGGTCGTTACAAGCCCTGGTGGGACGGCAAGG